CGAACCGAAACCGCGACGGCAAATTATTTTAATTTCCATTTGGAACTCAACGGCTACTTTATACGTCATGCTGAAGTTGAGCTGTGGCGCTGTATGAAACAGTAAGCTCCCGCAGCCATTTTTGAAAGTCTAACTAAGAGTAGAAATTCGTTTTTTAATCGAAGTTTTCCTTAGCGTCGCCGTCGTGGTTTTTTAAGGTCCCTAATATGTAAACCAGGTCCGGCGTTAAAAGTAATGCCTAGAAAAGGGAAATTGCCTTAGTGACTCTATAAGCATTGGGTGGGCTTTCCTGAAGTTTCAAAAGACCGTCAGAATGTTCTTCTTAGAAGAAATTCCCTGCCCATTGCTGAAAAATAGATTTAACTAATTACTCGAAATTTAAGATTTTTTCAGAAAATTCCTTCCACAGAGGTCCTAAACGCGAAAGAAACGCGGACAGAAAGAAGAGAACGAAAAAAGAGCCGAAAGGATCTTGTTACTCTTGTCCTTTAAAGGTGGGAAAAGAAGGGGACATTTTATAGAAAGGGATTAGTAAACCGATGTCTTACTATTAGCTTTCAGCTGTTCTCTTGCTTATAACAAAATTCCCTTTTTTTTTGGCCTTTCGAGTGGCACTTTTTTTTCTCAGTCATCTCGTAGTTACACACCATGTGTCGTTCAAATGTAATTAATTTTGATTGGCTATTCGTTCTTTTTGTCCATCTCTTAGTTATACACCGTGGGTTACTGAAATGTTAGGTGATAAATATCAAGTCCAGCATGCCCCTTGGGATGTTATAGACGGAGGAGCCCTGGACTCCAAATATGGACTTCAGTGTCTAGACATGTTCCTGCAGACTTCCACGTTAGAACCAACAACATATGACGTCATCATCTTCAATTTTGGTATGCATGACATAAACTACAGCGGCAACTTCCCAGAGGAATATGTCCAACCAGATGAATATACTGAAAATCTACGTTCTATAACTTCTATACTGTTATCAACTGGCGCGAAAGTTGGATACGTTCTCACAACACCCGTTCCATACAATGTCACGCTCAACGACCGAGCAAAACATTACAACAGCTTAGCAGATGCTGTCATGAAAACATTTCCAACAGTTGTGACCGCTGACCTCTATTCCTGGGTCACAGACGTCTGTGGAGAGCCACCTTACAAAAGCTGCGTTATAGCTCAAAAACAACCGAGCCCGCACTACACACAACCAGGATATAAGTATTTAAGTTTGAGGGTCACAGATTTGGTTTTGGATCTTGTTCGAGGGGTTGATCAGAATAACCACTATCCTCGGCCACAGGTGCAGTATTATTTCGTCTTTGTCATGGTCATTCGTTCTGATACATTCTCCGTGTATACCCTCGATTGTATAAAAGTTAATCGTTGACATTGGAAAGTACGAGACCCAAAAGCTTTAAGGTTCACACTTAATGTGCTTTACTTTTCCAATATCTATGTAAAACCTTTCTTTATGATGATCATTTTCTTTCAGGAAAACGTGGATGGCTTCTGTCACTCACCACGTGCAACTAATTTACAATTGTTCCACGAGCATGCGCTGGATATGAGATGATAGATAGCCAACGAAGTGCGTGGCGCCGAGTTAGCTATAATAATCTCCTATCCAACAAGCGCGAGTGGAATAATTGTTTTATTAAAATCGTTAAATTAAATTATTAAATTTTATTAAATTTTTTAGTTCCCTTTTAATTTTAAGCTGACGCGTACGCTTACCATATTTGTAGATTATGGTATATTGGCTCATAAACAGTTTTTAATAATTGTGATTATCATGTACATGTGTAGCCATAACGCCGTTGGGTCTCATCGTTCATTGCCAACGCTTTTTAGGAGTCAACGTTTCTGTAATTGATTGTATATTGTGGTAAACTGCACAAAACAGCACCTCTGTTTACTATTAAGTTCACTAAATGTCTCAGTCGATTCGTGCCAATTGATAATATGGTACGGATTCTGCGACCTGACGCTCTACTGCTGAGCGACAGAAACTCAATGACGAGCTAAGGCCATTATTAGGTCTATAGATGACGCGCGTCCCGCATACTACTAGGATAAGCAATATCGAAAGTCGCGTGTGAGCTGATAGATGAAGAAAGATGGTGAATGTAAAATTTCTTTTTTCTTGTCGCGACCATGTGGCAAATGTATGGTAATGCAAATGAGAGATTGAGCATCGGGAAGAGCGCGTACCCCTGAGCCTACATGACCCGTCTTAATTTAAATCCACACCAGCTAGGATATCGTTACCATTGGAAATTATTTTGCAAAAGGTATCATATCAATCATTGCTTTTATTTTACAGCAAATAGCGCGGGAAAATCCAGTTCCTTGCAAGGACAAGTCTGCTAAAGTGGTGACGGTGTGTCCTTATAATAGCACGTGTTGTGATTCACTGTTCTCTGCGACAGGAAAAGGCTGTTGCCTGCGCAACTCTGAGGCCGTTCCTTGTAAGGACGGGAAGCACTGTTGTCCCGCAGGTTACGAGTGTGAATCAAGCTGTTCAATTTACAAGTGTTCCTGTCTAAAAGCGCTAGTCACTCCCGAAAAATGACTGCTAGTGTATGACAAACCTCATTTTTGAGGTCTCAGAATGAAGCAATCGTGGACAGCTCTTCTATAAATAATCTTTACGATTCAAATCCGAAAAGAAATGGTCGATCGAAGCTTGAATAGATTCCTCTTGGAAATAAAATTACGAGTGGTACGGTGCTGTACACTTTGATTAGATGTACTTCTTGTCTGTAAAAGACCAAACTCACGACAAATGATGTTGTAATTCAAAATGTCTCTTATTTCGAAAACGGCAGTCTACATGATTTTGCTCTACTTAATGAACGCGACATTTATGGCAAAACATATTTAAGTTACACTGCAATGAAAAGCAAAATTCTCCAGTGTTGCTAGGCGCCGCTTTTGACTCGTCTTCTACGAACCTTTAGGCGGATTCAGTAGAAGTGTTGGTGTACCATACAACACTGTGTTAAACCAGTGTCTTGAGAATGATGGACTATTCATCTCTTCTTTTCCATCCGTTCTTTCCTCTCCCACAGTTGTTTGCTCGTCACTAGTGGTTTCTATCTCGTTAAGACGTCCTGATTTCGAGCCTCGATCAGACGCAGCGTCAGTTTCCGTAACAGTATCAGGCAGTTTGGGAAACTGTACCAAGCCTCTCACGGCCTGTCCAACTGTTTTACTTGCTTCTAACATGCCTGAGAGTAACGTAGTCAAAATAAACTAAAGGTTACAGCTAAGAAAAGGTAATTTCCAAACGTCCCATGGATTTGGTGAGAAGTTTAGAGAGAAGCTTGTTAAAAGCAATTGGAGATGATAAGGACATCACAATAGCTATTGAGACACCAACAGCATTATGAACGTTTCATTTCTGATAATTGAACGTTCTTTGTTATCAAGGTGTCATACAAAGGGTGTGCGGACATTTAAGTTGTAAAAATGATTTTATGAAAATTCTCCGTCAGATTTTACACGTTCCTTACAAGTCTGGCAGATTTATCTTTCTTGACGGTAGTCAGTTGTAGGCCAAAGTTAATTTAGAGATCCCAACTTCAAAGAAAACTAATTCAGTAGGTTAAAGTAGTCTCAAATTTTTAAACTGTTTAATGGAAGTTAGATTCAATTTATCCGAATGCGTTAATAAGTGCTTCAGTAATCGATATTTTTTATCTATGGCAACTATGTTCCTAGCCCTCATACTGAAAAGGGGACTCTTCTATTCAAAAAATAAAAAAAATGTCTCAAGAACCAGAGGTCCCATACACATAACGTTGGTAAAAACCGAACTTGGCGAAAGAAAGTTGCTTACCATTTAGGTAGGTATCAAGTTTTTGTTTGTTGTCAGACAGCTGGCAGTGCCACTGATTTGACACCACTCCAGCCACACCTACTAAAGAAAACAACATTGCAGTCTCCAAGGGACGCTCCAGCCATAATTCACCGACACTGCCATCAGAAAAAAAAAAAAGAAGAGATTGTGTTAGAACCCAGTCGATTCCTCAGAGGCACGCACTCTGAGCTAGATCAATTCACTCGCTCACCAACAGTGGTGGTCTCCTTCGAAGCCATTATTTGGTCTTGTCACGCTTACACTCTCTTCCCCGCTGAGGAGAAAGCGTCATACGTGACTAGAGAGTGTGATGCGTAAGGGGAGTGTGATGCGCGACGAGAGAATGTGACGTGTGACGAAACTAAACAATGGAGCCAGAGCGCGTGATGTGTGATGAGAGCAAAAAACAGAGAGAGAATGTGTAGCATCACGAGACCAAATACTGGCTGCAGAGGAGTGTGAACAAATGGCGACCGAATGAAAATCAATCATAAAAAACAAAGCCGGTAACAAGAGAGTACGTGGTCATCATGGTACGAAACTTAGTCAAGGCAACTTTTATCATCTTCTCAATTTATCATTGTATACACCGAATGGAAATATGGCGACCAATTTGAGTTGCCATTGTTCTGGACTCACTAGCCTCTCAAACATAATCCTTTTGTGTTTCCACGTGAAGATGAGGATAGTGAGTCCAGAACAATGGCAATTCAAATTGGACGCCATAGTTGTATTCGGTGTATGACTGTAATTTATTTCTATACCACTGGTCATACAAATACAAATGCAAGTATTATCCAAATTTGACATTGCTTTATTCGGGCAGAAACAAATCCTGAAAAGACGAGACTACTAAAAGAAGGTGCTTGTTAGGTCAAGTGCTCATGTCCATGAACAAAGTAGTTCAAGAATGACTAAGCAAAAGCTCGAACCCAGACCTATCAATCCAGAGTTCACCCCACTAATCACTAGGCCGCTGCGTCTGAAGAGTAACCCATTGGCACTACTTAAAAAAAAAAACATAAGCTGAAGACGGAGAGAACTAGAAAGCATCAATTCTTACGCTTTAGTAGCATCATCTTTTCCCTGCCTGAGAAAACTTTGGCTTGTCTGAACCAAGTCCAACAGAAGAACCAAGAGACAGTCTGAAAAATAAATCAAAGCACACTGCTGGTCAAAACCGTGTAGCAAAAATCAAAATTTTTCCGGGAGTTTCGTCTGGCCAAGTGGAGATATTTTGATTTCCAGCAACGAGTTTTTGGTATTTTCGAGATAAGAGAAATTTATGCTTAGAAATATTTTCTGGAGCTTTTATTAATATACTTATTAATGATAATATATTTATTAATATAAATTTCTTTATCGCTTATTCTGCGTCTCCTTTTTCTTGATGTAATAAGGCGATAAGGTATAAAGCAAAGACCACACTGCAAGCCAGCCGGACTGGAGGGAGGGGTCTGAAGTTTACAAAGTAATCAAAGTTTACAAAGTTTTGTCCGAAGATGTGGGAGGTAAATTACGTGAGTTTCGATTTGATGAATCATTGGCTGAAAGAGATTTTCGTTATTATGATTCACTACAAAACGAACGTAAAACGATCTGTGATGCGCAAACGCCTCCCAAACAAGGAAAACAACCTAAGAATTTAAATATTTATACAATTTATTAGAAGAAAAAGTGTACCTGTCACATTTATCGGTGCCAGCATATTAGGAGGCAAACAACCCAGATATCTTTCGGTGCCGTAGAAGATAAAGCCAGTACTTTCGGACAGAAAATGCTGAAACTCACCCACACTAAAAGGAAAAACAGAAAAGAGTATTCACGAGGGAAGTTTTCATCTAACTCATATCCAGAAATACTAGAGAACTTCGAAAGAATTCAGTTTGGGGTTCCATGCTCAGGAGGAAGAATCCATGTTCAAAGATCTGTTACAAGCAATTTTCAGTTGACTGTCGAAAGTTATCTGAGAATAGAATCATTTTGTCAACTGAACTTTGCTCTGTGATTGGCTACACAGCACTCACGCTGCTTTCTCAGCCAATCAGATGTAAAACCAAAACCAACCGCGGCTTGATCTGTCACGTTTTCCCGCGCTTCAGGCTGTTTGTTTGTTTTCATTATGAGATACACAGTATTCCTGATTGGCTGTTGTGATTGCTCTGGTTTTGGGTCCAGGACACTTGACCAAAATACACTGTCAAATCAAAAGAAGCCACTGCAACTTCGCACGTTGGAATATACAATAAAATATTTTGTGAATACGGAATAGATTCAAGACATACCTTGGAAGGTGGTCACTGCCTGATATACCATTCCACTTCGATGTAAAATTCTTGTATTTAGCCACGATATCACTTATTACCTTACTTGGGTTATCATCACCTACATACATCAATAAAAGAAACATCTCTACCGTGTATCCAAAATCGAATGGAGTCATCAATTAAATGGCAAAAGATTATCAACTTAAGTAGATTCCATGTTGCCATGCGTCTGCTTAGTAATAGATCAAAGATAACGTCAAAAATGTGGTAAGAACAAAAAAGTGGCAACCAGAGAATTAATAAATCGACAGTGGTTTAGCGTGGTCTGCACTCTTATCAACAATGATATTCGTAATCACAGTGGTCAAAATGTTGAGGACTCGCAAGTCGTAGCCAAGTACAGACCCCACTGAACCTCTGTCGATTTGTTTTTTACTGCAATATCGACGTCAAATAAAACGACGCGACAGCGTTGGCTATACTCTTATCGACAAAGGCAAATTGGCCAATCAGATTGCGACAATACTGCCAGTTTGTGTAAAATATAAAGTGACCCACGGCAACATGGAACCTATTTGTTTTATATGATAAGAAAGCAAAAATGTTGTTCATGGTGTCGTCATTTATGCGTCTGTCCTCCAATAGATAAAATGAATAAAACACCAATCGAAATACGTGTAAGATTCAGCTTAACATATAAAATGAGTAAAAAACCAATCGAAATACGTGTAAGATTCAGCTTAACATATAAAATGAGTAAAATGCCAATCGAAATACGTGTAAGATTCAGCTTAACATATAAAATGAGTAAAAGACCAATCGAAATACGTGTAAGATTCAGCTTAACATATAAAATGAGTACAAAACCAATGAAATACGTGTAAGATTCAGCTTAACATATAAAATGAGTAAAACATCAATCGAAATACGTGTAAGATTCAGCTTAACATATCAAAGCAAGTGAGTGTTACGTAACCCGTCTTACCTTGCTCGTTGCACTCGTTGTAAGGGTCGACAATGTCTAATAGAAGGTCAAGATGTTTTACAGTTTCTGTATTTGCCGACATTTTGATCAGAACCTTTTGCGATGATTGTAGAACAACTAGTGCCATCTACCTCATCAAAATCGAGCAGTAATTGGAACGGGAAAATGCTTTTTTTGCAGAGTCATAATTGGCTCTAACTATTTTAATTTTGATAAGTTGCACAGAACTACATGATCTGATTGGCTTGATCGACCAATGGCTTCAGTGCTTTTAAAAGAAGTCTCACCAAAGCAAAACCAAATTTAGCCGCGTTAGTTTAGTAATGAGGTCCTCTTCCAAAAAAAAAAAAAAGTGGGAAATCTTTGAATTGATGAATTCGATCAAAAGTTGTAAAATATACTTCTAATTCATACAACAAAAACTGATATAGGAAGAACTCGCTGTAAAAGGATACATCTTATTCCGTTAAAATCCACCACAGGACCTTCTTTAGGAATACCAGCTCCAACCTCTTTACCCCCCTTAACAGCAAAAATTAAAAAACATGTCAGATTCGTGCGAACAATCAAACGGACAAACATCTGACGAGGACAAAAGAAGGAAGGGAACAAGAATGATAGCAAAGCAATTAATTAAATAACTGTTTGAACTGCTGAAGTCTTACCTTTTTCTCACTCTTTTGTCCTGATTTCGCTGTAGATGGCTTATCGGATTTTGCTTTGTCAGGTTTCTTGCCTCCTTTTCCAGTGACTTTAGTTGTACTTTCTTCAAATGCAGAATGCAAGATGGTTAAACCGGCTAAAACACTACATAAATCGTAACCCACTCGCGTTGTGTGATCTTACTGCTAAGTGCTCTAAAGACCTTTTGGTCGGTGATTTCATTGACGTTTTGACAGCTCAAGTGGAAACCACCATCAAATTCACTATAACGAAACTGTGACCATGTTTCGCCTTCACTAACGTAATTTAAAATTGAGTGACTTGAGCAATCCGGAACTGCATTGGATCAACCTTGTTTCGCCCCGTGACTGGTCTGTAAAACCCGTCAGTGTCACCCACATAACCAACGCCATTTAAAACTAAAACCAACCGTAACTTTGTCACCTTACGTTTTCCAGTGCTTTAGGTTATTTATTTTGGTCTTTAATTCGTGTTCTCCTTGCCTACTGTGACATTTTCTTTTATTCTGTTTGGTTTTGTGATAACGTCGGGTTTTTGTTTATTGTTACACAACCCAGAAGCGCAACAACGGGATGAACTTCGAATGTACTTCTCAACATGACGACCTTCCAATTCTTTCATTATTCTCAAGGGTAGTCCTCACAACGCTTCATACCTGAACGTTCGGCCGGGTGCACACGATGATAATGGAACTGGAGAGAGAAGTCACGCGATATGCTGGTAATTTGAGGCACAGCAAAAGTCTTAAGAGCCTCCAGAGGTAACTGAAGCAGCCACTCATCAGCCAACAAAACAACAGACTCTGAAACCGCGTCTGGACTGAAGGAAACACAACAGATAGAAACTAAAGCAAAGCCTTAACAGCCTTAAAAACAACTTTGTAATTTAGCGCTAACCGCCGCTACAATCTACTGTTTAGTGCACGTGGATAATATGAAGTAACCCTCTAACTCTCAAGATCTGATTGTTAATTCTCCCCTCTAGCTGCCACACATTTCCTTGTAAATTGGTTATGAGAATGTGGTGTTCAATCAAGGTAACAACTTCTACCCGATAAGTTTGAGTATTCTCAACACATGTTTGCTGGATAAAGTAAGGATATTATAGGGAGAAGTTACATGTCTATCACCTCTGGGAGTTAAAAGGTTAAGTATCTGACAAAGTGACTATATACTCGACTAAAATGAAGTGTATGCACGTTTGGTAATTTATGGGCCTCAAGTGGGATTAACACCGCATGTATTTAGTTCTGTGTTTTCAGCAGATTTTGATGTTTTGAACCCTTTCTGTCTTCTTTTGAGTCAAGTTCAGCCAAGAAACGTTAAAGTGCAAAAACTGCAAACGGAATGTTCCTGTAAATAGTTAGCACCCTTATTTGTTATAATATTGTCACTGGCTTGACAAAATAACATTGTTACTGATATGAATTTTATGAAATATTCTGTGCTGTAAATTGTCTTACTTTAAAGCTGGATGAAGTTTAGTTAGGATAGGGTCCAGGTAAGCTTCAACTGCTGCCACAACGTCCCTAAAATGCGACTACAGTGGAAAATATAGATTTAAACGCAGGATATAATTGTAAATGGAAAACAAGTCGCTGACTAATAATGAGCACAAAACACGCATCAAAGAAATGAAAAAAAAAAAAAATCTAAGCTAAGACAGCGGAGAGCACTTTTTACTATACTTTTCAAGACATAATAATAATAGTAATGATAATAATAATAATAATAATAATAATAATAATAATAATAATAATAATAATAATTTAATGTTTATATTGCGCAAATTAACATGTGGATATGATCAAATGCTCATCACAACACTTTTCGAGGGACTTTGGCCGGACTGCGTCAGCAGTTTACAAACAACCGAAGGAAACTTGTTTGAAGATGCCCCCTCCCCCCCAATTCCCAGACAGAGGAAGTGTGGTCCACAAAAGCCGGGGAAAACATCGTACTTTTGTTAAATCTTCCTCAATTTCGCCGAACGTTTTCGATCGTGATCTCCCACTGAAGACTGTCTGCTACCCGGTCATCAGCCACCTTGAAGCATGGATGCGAAAATTAATGTCGCTTCACGGCGTGCATTTTGAGGACGAAAGGCCTCCCTCTTTAAGCGGTATTCCTTCAGTGCCTTGACAAACAGAACCTGACAACTTTTGCAGAGTTCCAAAAACCCAGTGATATATTTCATTGGTTATTCGGGAATATCAGGTGCTTGCATAAGGATAGAAACCAGAGGCACGACTTACCTCCAACTGAGATTCTTTTTCAAAGAGACTGGAATCAATCGGCAATTGTTCCTGTATAGTTGTGTGTAAAAAATTAATTTAAAATCATTAAATGATAGCGAGATATGCGGAAAACTTCAGTTCTCTGTGTGAAGCCTTTTTGATGTTCCAAATACTTCTCCTTTAACGCTTTCATATGTGACGAGGATCGGATAATTTTCTACTTGCCGAATTCAAAATAGTTTATTTTCTAATTCGCTACCCAGCTCAAACGAACATAAAACATTTATCATTCAATAAGTAACCACAGTTGGGGTGTGTCAACACGAGCCGTATGCGACCCTCTTTATTATGCCTTCATCAACAAAATTGATAGGAATGGTACATCAACGGAATGACAGTAAGTAAGTAAGTAAGTCAACCTTATTTAAAGAGGGTGTACACACAACAATTACAAAATACAAATGAATAAAGGCTGATAGTTTCGAAAGAAACTGTTTGGGGCTGCGTCGGTGGGAGTAACGAAATAATTTGGATATATCAACAAAGTTGAAATGGTAAATTGGCCACCGTAACGATTACAAAAGCTGACGTTTCGAGCGTTAGCCCTTCGTCGGAGCTCCGACGAAGGGCTAACGCTCGAAACGTCAGCTTTTGTAATCGTTACGGTGGCCAATTTACCATTTCAACTTTGTTGATATATCCAAATTATTTCGTTATCCCCACCGACGCAGCCCCAAACAGTTTCTTTAGAAACTATCAGCCTTTATTCATTTGTACACATAACAGCTTACGCTGACAAACCAGTGGCCCTCAAAACTAAGGAAATGTAAAAAATAAAGCAAGAAAAACCACGCTACAAAACAATCTTAACCATGTTCGTATATGCAAAAACTACTTCTAAGAGAAACTGATAACCCCTAGTCACTAGGTATTTAATTTTGAGGGCGTAGGGACGGTCGTAAGGCAGGTAATTCAATTTATCAAACATCGTCAATTTTGGATGTAGCGGCTTGCTTGCTTTTATCATAAGACTACATCTTTACATGATTATTTCTCAGGATTCTACATTTTATTAGCTCTACGGTGAAAGAGGATTTGTTAACAGCGACGCGTGTCGGAATGATTTTTCGAAAAGACACCATTGAAGGGCTACAGTAATCTGGTGGTAACAGTGATCTAACCTGACTCTCCGCCTGTAGACTGTTGTCCTCAAGCTTCGCCAACATCTTTCTCCTCTGCTCTTGCTGGTGTCTAACGTAGGTTCGTCTCATGAGTTCGGAAGCAGTGTCCGATTTGAACTGACCGAACTCTTCAATGAGCTGCTCCAGTTCCACTGCACTCACAGCTGCGCGGGTTATCATGGCCTTTGAAGGAACTAAAAAAAAAAAACCAAAGAAATATTTACACCATCAGAAAAAATAGAGAGAGGCAGAATGAACCTTTTAGGAGTCAAAAATTTTTGTAATATCGTGACCTTTCATTTACTCATTCATTAATCAAGTTTTTTTTTTTTTTGCTCCGCGCACAACAAATTTCACCTTGCGGGAGATTACAAAATGTCTGTTCCGTAAGTTAGAAGAACAACCCGGAAAAAAGGTAACAGTTAGCCCGACGACAGAAAAAAAGAAAAAAGGAAGGCTAAGGACATGGAAGATTGAAACGGAATCGGTATACGATGCACACATTAAATTTTCTTTCTTTCTTTTTTTTTTTTTTTTGGTGCACGAATCATGGCGTAGAGCCTTTCAAGTTCAGTAAACAGTAGAATTGCACAAAACTGCTCTTGTTAGCCCATTAAATATCCTGGATGGGTTACTCTGGAGAATACAAAGGTGTAGTACTTACCGGGAAGAGTTGATGCTTGTTTGTTGGCTTTTCCACTTGGTACAGGAGATCGACCCTTATCCAGCACAGCTCCGTAAAGGTAACATCTGTAACACACGTTGATGTGAAATGAGAACATCAAAATAAGTTTTTAAAAAAAAAAAAACCATACTTCGCAAATATATGGTACAAAAAACATTCAACGCGCAATAAACTTTTTCAAGTTAAACTTCCAATTAGATAGCAAGGACTGGACAATGAGGAAGAAAATCAAGTTAACACTACAGTATTTACAATACTGCTGATAGCCATTACTGGTTAACTGGTTGTCATCGCTTAATGGGGCCCGACACTGTCTGCTAACTTTAATTTACCGACGAAACCGAAGAAGAGCAAGAGGTACAGATACGAACTCAGTCATAGCAAAATATGGATACAAAAAAAGTTTAACGCAAAAAATTTGACTGCTCACCTATCGGGAGAATGCTGGAGCACAACAAACTGAGTATTCAAGCTTGAAAACTCACGAGTCAGTTCTAAATGACTTCTTGTGATTGTTAACCGTCTCCAAGGCTATGGAAGTCAACCAACAACGTAAGCGGGTAAACACAACATTAAGATACGCTCGGGGGAAAACAACTAGACTGCCAAAAGTTTCCTTTGAATAGAGGTTTTCATTCAGTGAAGGTAACATATATATAAGGTGTTATAGCCTAATGAACGTAGTACGCATCCTCTGATTGGTCAATTCAGTTTCCATGCGGATGCTTTATCAGGTTATAGAGCCCGCATGTAACTAGTTACGTCATAAAAGCAATAGAGCGCATTTTTTTGGGCTCTACAACATGATAAAGCCATTTGGGATGTTGGGAGAACATTCGGAAAGTCCATAACTCACTCGTTTTCGGCTCGTGATTTAAAACCTTTACCCGAGTTCTCCCAACATCCCGCGTGGCTTTGTCAAGTTAGAGAGCCCTAAAAAATGTGATCTATTGTTTAAATAGAAGCATTTGCATCCAAAAATAGTGTCGTCTCCTAAATCGAGAAAAAGAGATTACACTGTACCAAGGCAACTGATGGGTTCGCTCCATTGCAAGTTCGCCCCCATGAACGAGTTCGCTCCATAGAATGTCACAAGTTTAACCCAACCTTTGCCACATATCCTCAAAAAATTTCAACTCGTTTCCTTAAGGCAGAAAGTGCTCCTTTTCTAGCGAATCCGACATCCTGAGATCTTTACTAGGACCGTCATTATTCCCAACTTCGAATGAAGGATTACGCTCTGCCGTAAGGAAACGAGTTGAGATTTGGAGGAGGGGGGGAACTGGAAAAGGGAGGGGAGAGAATTTATATATTTCATGGGCGAACTCGTCGTAATTGTGGCGAACTGGTAAGGAGCAATGCAACGGGCGAAACCTCCATAAGACTTCCTTCGCATTGAATTTGGAGTCTATCAACGACTCTTAGTTAAGCTTAATTTTCTTTACCTCACAGTCGGCAAGATGGTTAGAATTTGAGGCCAAAATACTCGATGACGTATCACTCAAGAACGCCACGTTAGCGAGTAGTTTTCTCTGGTGTAGTAAAGCTGCCTGACGAGAGACAGAAGGGTCCTGCTGAACTCGCCTTAACACACCTTCCAGAACCTCAGATGCATGGCAACTCTAAGCAAAACAAAAGTGGAAAGGCAATTGGATATCAGACGTCTATAATGTGAATAGTCAACTGCATAGGGATATTTGTACTTGCTTATACAGTTATTTCAACAGTGGAATGAGGGGAATAAGAAAGATCCTATCTGAGTGCTGTACTGCATAGTTTCCTAGAAATCCTATGTTTTTACCAGGATAAAGCTATTCTTGAATTAGTTATGAAACCGCCCCTTTCTTCACGATACAGTTTTGGCTTAATCAGGAATCGGCACACTGATTTGATAGAGTGTTTTTCCAGCCCATGAATGCAGCCATGGCTGCCTCGTACCCAGACTTCCCGCTGCAAAAGAGAAGCTTCAAATTTTGGCTTTAAATAGCGAAGGAAGAACATTTCATAGAGCAGAGGAAGTCTCAGGCTAAAGTCCATGATCCCCACCACAAAACCTTAAGCAATCCCCTGTAATAAAATGATCTGTTGGCGATGAAATGCCCTCTACAACAACAAAAACAACAAACACTTAATTTTACTGGCGTGGATGATTAAAATCAAAGACTTCAATCTCCTTAATGGAGCTTAGACATTAGACTAACATCAACAACATCACTGACCAAAAATTATACTAAAAGGATCCAACAGAAACACCTGTTAAAGTTTGACTGAAATAAAAACTAACAAGGAACAAGTTTTCAACCGTCAAAGATACCTGAAAAAGCGCCAGATATTGCGAGGAGGTGAGTGGATCATGAGCGCCAATAGAATCCATCAGTTCACGGGCTGCGTTACCGACAATATCCTGACCAAGGCCACAAAAAAAAAAAAGGGAAGACAGAACTCAACACATCTAGTATACAGATGTGAGCATATAGTGAACAACTGTTCATCGACATGGAGGTGGTTAGTGGTGGACATCTACCGGAAGCGAAGCGACGAGGTAAATATCCACCACTAGCCTCCAACGCTGAGGTGAATAGTTGTCATGGTAAAAGGGACCTTAAGATCGAGGTTTTCAGGCATTTCCCGCGAACCGCGAACGTCACGTGACCAGTGTCTTGTCGTCACGTTTGCAGTTTCAGGTTTACGGGTGAACCACACAAGAGGTAAGGGATTTACCGAAAGGTTTTTTGCACCCAAAAACATCACAATCGTACGTTTGAGAGGAAATACTACTTTTTCTTAACTCTTTCGCCTATTAATTATCGAATTCTTTTTCATAGAAACGTAATTTTGAAGACGATTTCTCAGTTAAAATAGAAGTGAACGAAGAAATGAAAACAAACATGGCGGCCGGCTATTTGGTATTAAAACTGTTTTTCCAGTCAGATTACTTTGAGGTTAAACAAAAGCCAATTGGTGATGATATGTGAATGCATGAATATTTATTTTGTTTCCCAGATGGCTCCGTTCAGGTGGCCAAGCACACAAAGCTGCTTCATGAAATAAGAAATCGAGATCTTCATCGCTCCACGACGACCCTTCAGAACAACTATAATCCAGCTACATAATGTCCAACAGATCTTTGTAGTCTTGCCTAATTTTATAGAGGATCAATGATTTAGTGTTCTACTCTCCTTAAGTAATCAATAAAATCCAACAAACGCATTAATCCACGTCTCACCTTCGGGCAGCAGCCATCTTGTTTTTGTACTAATTTCACATAATTCATCAGTGCCATCACCCGCGAATCTAAGTCCCAAATATGGGCAGACGGCTAACGTGAAACCGCTAAAGGCAGACCGCAGTTTGCCGTTTGCGGCAAGATGGCCAAACCTCGATCTTAAGGTCTCTAATACTAACACAACGAGATAGTATAGCACAAAAAGATGATTTTAACTCATTTATTCTTGCAACGATTACAATGTTTTCGGGCGCAAATCCCGCGCGAGGTGCTCGGAGGTGAATGGCAAAATGTAAACGGAGTTAGCCAAGTCAGAGCCAATCAGAGCAGTCCTTTAAAGCTATCCACTGTTTTGGTACGCGTGCGTGTAACAAGGGTTAGCCTAGAGGGCTATTTGTGTCAAGCTCATGAACAAAATACTCGGAATCTCACAATGCTGCCCTTACACCCAAGAGCATAAATTGGTACTGCAAAACTGCCAAGAGATCCTTTCAAAATGTTTCGGGTAGCCTTCGGTGGATTGACACTGTATTCAGGTAGTGTAGCAAAATATGTTCTTGCTCATTTCAAGCTATAGAAACTTAGACGAGCTCCGACTGCAAGGGATTAACAGATTCGTTTGGCTTAACACCTTTTGCCAAGTACTAGTTGGCGGGATTTAGCAAAGGAGCTTTTCCAGTACTGCCACAAAACCGACTCTCACGAGAAATCCAACTAGCTCCGAAGAAGATCGTATAGCCTACCTCGACACATCAACTAGACTGACTAACTAAGAACATGAAGTGAAATGTACTAACTTTGAAGCCGTGTTTAAGTCCTATCTGTACACACTGTGACAGACAATCCACTGCTTGGCTAAGATATCTCTTAGAAGTTGAAAATTCAGCCTGAAACAGAGGAAAAATTTAGACATGCTCCATGAGCGAGGTGCCTTCGCAGCACATCGACGTCACTCCAAGAGTTCCGTGTGGAACGCTAACTTGTGCGACGGACTCCGCCATAAAGGAAAGACTGCCTGTAGTCTAGTTCTAAAGAGATAACATGGCTAACGATCTCAAGTGAAGGTGCTTACATTTAGCTGAAGCGCTTGATTGGTGAGTTTAACAAACTCCCTCGATAGATTCTGGGGAGCCTCGATTTCAATATCGCCAGTGTCCTGGTCACCCGGTGCCGATTCTTCAACGGCCGGGTTTAGAGGCTTGGCTACGTTGTCCACTTCAGATTCATCGTGCGGTACCTGTCAATATAATACAAAACGTTAAGGCTTTCGCAGGTATTCTTATTTAAATTCTGTCATATTACAAAACAGACATGCGATATGATTGGGGAACAAACACTAGAAAAGGTACAACTGGACCAAAACGGCTCTCACTGGCTGAGTATTTAGTGGCCTCCCCAGGTTTTTGATAGAAAAACAACTTGGGCCGGTTACTGAAACACATTAAACGACAAGCAATGCACTTGGAGATTTCTTTAGAAGGAGGTTGTGTGAGATAAATGATTGGTTGTCCACTGTTTGCACTAGGCCTTCGTAACATTATTCGCTGAAGTCGACATTTAGGTAAAACGTTTGGCTAATTTAAAGCTGGTTTTGAACGCTGAACAGTTTGCTGAACAGCTGCAGAACGTTTTTGCAACAAAAGAACCTTGCTGTTCCTCTTTTAACACTTCAGCCCTCAGTTTGCACTCTGACTGTAATTAGTTCTCAAAACAAACGAATTATGCCTTCAATTGAAAATAATTTGAACAAAATTCAAGAATATCGCTCTATGGTGTTGAAAACTAACCTGAGGTACTTCGTAATTCAGTTGAAATTCAACTGCGCCTCTGGCGCAAAAGTCCGAAACAAAAACCTTCAATAAAAGGATTAGGAATTTAGCATTGTTACATATAGACTAAGACGCGCGAAAGTGTTATTCGCCTCACCTCTAATTCCTTCCACTGGGTATCTGAATCAGGAGCCGTGTGCGCCGCTAGTACACCCAAGCAGCGGCCGAGGATGTAAAGTGCCTGCCAAGGTACAAGAGGAAGTGATAAATAAATCTTCGATCAGCTAGAAAAATTAACTTCATTCTTACGTTTCAAAGATATGAAAAAAATGATTGTTTTGGTGATAACATGCTAGGAATGTAAACATGAAGGTCACCTTTCCTTGAAATAAAGGAATAGACAAAGATTTTATGACAATTCCACGTAAATAAGCAGATTGCCATGAGCGTGGGATAACGCAGATGAACAGCCGCGTCGGGATTTAACGATTGATCTTTGTTTTACATCTCGGTGGTTGCCAAGGTGACGCGAGTTTTCAAGCGCAATCACAGAGTGAACTAAAGCAAAACCAATACAATTAACCCTTGACCGCGCAGCGGCTGCGTCGAGTTTAGAGGATACAAAGTTTTGTGCGCGACCCTCTGGTCTCCTTTCGAGGGAGAATTTGCACAGACATAAACAGATCTTCTGCACCCGGGGAAAGAAAATGACTTCCGCATGATGAAGGTCCATCTAGGATTACTTTCGATCTTCAATTGACAATTGCTTCATGTCGCGCCAAGTTCAAACAAGTCGTCGTCATCTCGTATCATATTCCCTACCTTAGCCCTGAGATATGCCACGTTACCCGTAAGGCCATGCGCCATAGATAGCTGCATCAAAGTGTCCTCGGCGAGAGTTCTTGGAATAAAATACAACAAGAGTAAGGAATGAGGAGTGCATGGAATACTGAGTAAAACATAGACGATGATAACCCAAACGTTCATCGAAATCTAACGAGTCACCGACGAAAATACGTGAGGTGACCAAATGATCATCGCAGTCTTATGAGAAACTCAAACAACGGCAAAATTTCGAAAACAATTAGGAATATCATCACCTTGGAGTTTGATAAGAGATTAATGAAAGAAAAAGAGGGGATGGCTCTTTAAAGATTACCCAGTTACTTCTCGCCACTTTCTCTGTTTCTCAGTTGGCGAAAGCTCCACACCAACGTAGTCGTCTATCATCTGCAAAAAAGGTATCAAAGTCAATTAGTTCCTTTTTCTTTCCCATTAATACATTTACTACGAAATTTAATCAAAATATCTTTAATTAAAAAAGAGCATCTTCTGGCAACAAACACTCGCAGCCCACCATTGGTAAAAATGCAATCTGATTGGTTCCCTTGAAACCTGCTAATCAAGAAATCATACACTGATACTTTCGTGTTGATCGCAATCACAATTCTCTTTGGAAATCCGTTAACAACTTTTCCATCAATTAGAAAATCAAGACGAGTTCATTGTAGACAAACAAAATCAACGTTGCATTGCTGGCCATTTTGCAATAGAGACTCTAGCTCTGAGCGAGAAGGGAACATGAACCGGTGGCATTTAGAATATAAACAATAAATCTCAGTTTAATTTACTAGAGACCTATCTAAGGCCTTTGATACACTGCCAAATGACTTATTAGTAGAAAAGTTCAGGGCTTACGGGGCTGACGACAACACCTCCAACCTCGTCAAGAATTACCTTACAAAGTTCTCAAATTGGCAAAGAATTTCAGCAGGAATTCCACAAGGAAGTGTCCTAGGTCTTTTGATATTCATAAACGATCTCGTCCATGTCATCAAACACAGCAGTTTGTCGGCTATTTGCAGATGACACGCAAATATTTTACGCCGACAAAGAGTCCGCTCGTGTAGACATATGGTATGAGGAAAATGGTACGAGAAGAAACCCAGCAAAGTACCAAGCAATCGTCATGGGAAAGACGCAAACCGCGCCTCAGTTTTAATATGAAAACACAGAAATCCCCAGTATGGAAGATTTAGAAATGCTTGGAGTAACGATAGACGACAAACTAAAATTTGAAAAGCAAGTAGCCAAAGTATGCAGAAAAGTCTAAGCGCATAACACAATTAGCTTGTATTGTATTGTGTTGTATTGTATTGTGTTGTATTGTATTGTATTGTATTGTGTTGTAAAACGATCCTCCTTACCTTCTGGATATTCCCCTTCCGTGTCTCTAATTCTCGTTTTCCTCGATCTTCACTGGAAAACAGTTTCAACATGTCAACCATTAGCTCTGAGATGACAAGCTTTGCGTCCACTGCCTCTCGCTGAACAGGCAAGTTCAGGTTACGGAGCTGAAGATAAAGCAAATTTGGACCTTCAATCGGGGAGAAACTTGTTGACACATTGATCTTTTCAACCACCTACTATTTCAATTTTATCTCTTTTGCCCCGTCAAGTTAACCTGTTCGCTCCCTTGTCCCCCAAAACAATGTTGTATCGCGAACTTTTCAGCAGCCAACATAGAATTTTGTAACGTGATTCCATGAATTTTCAGCCAACATTCAATGGGGAAGGGTAAAGGTAAAGTCTGTTTACGAGCCAGTGGCCCATCAGGCCGGTGCTTAACTCCTGTTTCTGTAGAATGAGGTGACTAGGAGTATTTCTACTCCCCCCTGGATGGGATGCTAGTCCATCGCAGGTTTACTTCCCAGCATTAGATTTGCCGGTACCCATTTAAACAACTGGGTGAAGAGAGGCGCTGTGAGAGTAAAGTGTAAGAACACAACACAATGAACACAACACAATGTCCCGGCTGGGGCTCGAACCCGGACCACTCGATCCGGAGTGGAGCGCACCAACCGTGAGGCCACCGTGCCTCCACAATGGGGAAGGGGGGTCTTCCTAATTATTTAGAGTGTGGTAGAAACTGGAGTGTTATTTTCAACATAAATAGAACTCTTCAAACATGATGTACCAACTAATAGAACTCTTCAAACATGATGCGTCAGCTAATTTTGACGCTGATTGCAAGCGTGACTTGGAACAACTCAAGTATCGAGTGATTGGAATAGCGACACCCACCTCTGACAGACTGGAAATGGACTGGACATCATGTAATACAGCATTAGATAGACTCACAGCTGCTTTCAGGATATCGAACGCCTACAAAAAATTGGAATAGACAAGTCAGACAAGCCATCATGTGTACCTTACCTTGGTGTATGCGTTAAACGCGTGTATTTCTGCTCATACATGCATTTGATACTTTCAAAGTAGTTCTAATCAAGAACATTTCAGCCTGTGATCATAATATTTTTTACAGTGTTTGATAAATGCGTGTATCCTCCTCTTTGCCAAAGTTGTTCTGTTCAAGAAAACGTAATCTCCCTCTTTAGGAGTGCGCACTGCCACTCCACTTCGTTCATTCGTGTTTGACTGCAGAAAACTGCCCGCGCGAGTGAACTTGCGTGGGTACCTCGAGAAGGTTGTCTTGTCTTTCCTCAGGGGTGATACTATCCTCAGCAAAGGCTCTCTTGATGGCTACAAGTTTCATCATGACCTTAACAGCCTCTCGTCTGTGACCCAGTGAACTTAGTTTCTCCGCCGCACGGGACAGATGCTGTGAACAGTGAGAGACTATATAAAAGTCCTTTTTTTCACACTCCTTCGTTTATGTTATTTAGTTGGGAGTGAAACCAATCTCTCTTAAAAAAAAAAAAGAATTGTGGACAACATTACAATCGTCTCATGCTTCTCATTTGAAGTAAGTCTTGAGTTCCTAATCTATTTTGGTAGAAACTACTTGTTTGCTTAATGAAAGCCTCAATTTTTAAATTGGCTGATTTAAAAACGAATTATTCTTATTTTTTTAAGAAAAAAAAAAAAAACGAATCAGACAAATAGATTTAGAAAAATACATATCAAAGGTAGCAACATGTTTACGAAATTACATTACTTGATACAAATCAAAGTAGACAGGAAATTAGCATTAGGATCACCAACCTTGCAGGCGATAATCAAGTCCTTATGGGAATACTCTTGCTTTCTCAAATGAGGATTATTGACAGCGTAATCAGACAGTAAAGTACCCAGCCTGAAATGAAGGCATTCATAAGAAATCAAAGAGAACACAGGACGGACTAATTCAGAACCATCGCAGCATTAGCAGTGTGAAAATTTATTTCCGAGATGGCCCAGGCTTCTCTGTTAAACGGAGACTGAGTGCAAGGCCTTTGTAATGAAAGCGATTTTTATTCACAAGCAAAGGAAAGTCATTTCACCAGAAAGGTTTAGCAGTTAGCTTCATTCTGAATGCCTGGGTTTTTAGAACTCTGAAAGGGTTATTTGCCAGGAGATGACAATACTCCAGATAATCGTGAAAAGGTTAATTATGCTGAGAATGAAAATAGAAAACACCATTGACAGCCAAGACTCTGGGATTAGTGCTAAAATCTTTACGCTAACTACCGAATAATTCAGTTGCAGAAAAATTTCAACTTCGGCGTGGGCTTTTCCGTGTGTCAAGCAATTTGTGTATATTAATTTAGCGGCGTTCCTGCTTCCTTGCGATGTTTGTCAAATATTCCGTAATTTACCACACCTTTTTTTTTTAATTGAAAACTCCTTGGTTTTTATTCCAAAGTCTGTAGTAAGTACTTCCTGACACTACTGGCACTGACACTGCATTCGCTCTGACGAAGAGCTACCGCGAGACACGTCAGCTTTGAAACTCTTTACTGTGGCCAATTTACATTATCAACTCAGGCTATAAAACCAAATTACGATGCGGTAAATACCTTGCTTCGAGGACTGCCTCAATGTATTCCGCCAAATTAGCTTTATTAGGGTTGTCTTCAGCCAGGTCCCGGAAAACATTTCTTGCACGTAATAAAACATCGCCTGCCTGGAAAAATGAGAAACTATCATTGGCATCTACAAAGTTACCTTCACAAAGTGGTACTTTGCAAAAGTGGATAAATCACACAGCTGACACTACAACTTTGTTAATCAATACCTGATCAAAGGATATATCTATACGGTCTCAAGAACGCATGGTTACGTCTGTATACGAGAGAAATCTGCATTTTTATAAGAGCTTACTCCAGTTTCTTAACAAGAAGCTACTGGGAGCAATGCTACTACTCCTTGAAGGAATGTTAGTCTATGGCAGGTTACTTAATCCCCCTCCCTCCCTCCCAAAAAAGAGTGTAATAGATGTTTGATCTGATTGAGTAAGCGCCAAAATTTGATTATACAAAGCAACACACCCTTCTGGGGGGGGGGGGGGGCATACTCCCCTGGAAAATTTTGACATTTGAAACTCTCTGAGACGTGATTTCAAGCACTCTGGGACATATTTAAGTATATTTTTTAGCCAGACATTAGTGCTAGAACCAGTTCAAAAATACTTATTTTCTGTCTTCGATCACAATTCACGAAGTGCTGAATGATGTGCGGGTTTCCGCCGCCTATCGGCTTCTTGTGGCAACCCTAGGTTTCTCTGACACTTCGCTGATACTCATTTATAGCCCTGACCGAGAGAGGTGGTGTGAGAGGTGGGTGTCTTGCCCAGTAACACAACACAATGAACCTGCTTACGGCTCGACCTTAGGATGCCACCTCACCGAGAGAGCCCTTAAACCTTTAGTGGGCATTGCGCCCGATCTTTTTGTGTTAGCATGTCTTGACAAACATTCTCCCGGAGAAAGCTTGACGCAAAGGAAGGAAAGAAGAGGTGATTACCCTGTCTTTGGCTGGAGGATACGGTGTGTTTAACATGGTGGAATTCTTGTCGACCTTAGCTAACGAGGCTTCACACAACAGCAAAGTAGTCGTCAACCAAAATCTTTGATCGCCATGAAGTTTCTAGAAAGAACATGGGCACATACAACATATCGAAACATTGTAACTAGTCGGGTAATCAGATTAAATGAATTGCTTCTCTTAAAGTTTTCATTAAATCATATGTCGATAATTGACAAAGTAATATTGATAAAAGTGACAAACTGATCTTCATAGCTCGATCCACCTCAGACAGTCTAAAAGGAGATTGTAGGCTTCTACGGTACTTGACCCATACCAACCAAACGTTAGTTGGTTTCCCTAACAATTAGTCTATGAGGACTAAAGTTGGGAGCGAAGCAACCCGCCGCCATCACAGCTGCCCGTGTTTATCCCACTTCAGATCTTACACAGAAGAGAAACCTTTTCATTACATTTTTAGGAATCTTGAGCTGATTGCCTTAAATTAAAGCTGTGATAAACGCAGCTTAGTTCAAGAGACCTATTTCGCCCAAAAGTGGAATCCGGTGGTGTTATAAACAAATTAGAACGATAATAACCTGTGCTTCAAGTAACAGTGAAGTAGCTTGTCCCCAGTTTGACTCTGCTAAAGCCATGACCGATAAGTGCACCAGAATGTTGGCAAGAGTTCGCTTGTCGTCAAACGCCTGAGCATCAAAAAAGAAAGAAAAGAAACAAGTTTATCAAAACAATGAACTTCCGTAATGCGTAATAATCCTACTTTAATCAAATCATACAAAAGCACCCTCTTAATTCAGAATTTTAACTCAGATTGTAATTGATAAGGAAGAACAACTGGTAATCCGAATAAAACCAAGATTTTGAAACGTTTTCGAGAGCCATCAGATACCTTTCATAACTCGTAAGCAAACTCGTTGAGCATCACGCACAAAGTCTCGTTCTCTACAATGTAATAGTCTGGCCTTTTATAGTCTGGCCTTTTATAGTCTGGCCTTTTATAGTCTGGCCTTTTATAGTCTGGCCTTTTATCAGAAACGCGTCTTACATTAAAAGAATAGAAGAGGAGTATTTTCGGATCCATATTTGACAATTCCTTTAAACTGTTTAGAAAACTTTTTTTTTCTTAGTCTAGGCCATAGAAATGTGACTGACATTCATGAAGATGTCCGAACGGACTCACCCTTGCTGATAGATTTGCCTCGCTTAATAGCTGTCGAGCCGGCAGAAACTGGCCCTAAGTGGAAAGGATGATCAGAAACATTTAAACGTGAAGAAAGACCTGCACGTGTATGCTAATTGGACACTTATGACCACAATTTAGGAAGTAACCATTTAGTCAGCTGTACCTGCCGGATAAGTATTTCAGCCTGCTCAGTCCATAATTCCCGATAGCACACGTCACTTATCACCCATTTATGTTTGTTCCATGAATCCTCCTCAACAATATCTGCTGCGCCGGGTGCTTGAGGTCTGACTGCCAGATTTAATATCCTGGCGTCAGACACCACACTTTTGTTGTTTTTGGATTTTTCTTCTTCGGCTTTCACCTGGCGCTGTTTTTCTTTCCACATCTCGATTTCCTCTCGTGATCTGGTGAAAACCAAAAAAAAAATGACGATACTAACAATAAAAGTGATGTGAATGACTTTGAAAGAAGCCTGCCTCCGAGCATAACTGAATCAGAAGTCAGCATTTTACGATACAGCCTTTAAGGTGGTGGCCTTTAAGTTTCATTTTTTGAGACTTAACGAACATTTGTCGGCTGCCGTGCGATTTCCTTGAAAAACATTTGCGTGAATAGTAAGGACACTTACACTTCACATTTTGAGAAACAAGTGATTAGAGAGATCAGAAAGCAGCCCAAGGTGGACGACTTTTAAAGTTAATCGCATTTTAATATGAAATGTTCATAAGACATATTTAGAAATAAAGATTAATTGATCCATGGATTGATCGTTAATTAAACAAATCCTCCTTCCTCGTAATTGACCACATTGTTATCATTTGACTTCGTACTAAACATAGAAGTATTTAGTTGTTCACCAGACCCCTATCTAAGAGAAGGAAAGTCAAAGGAAGTAACCAAAGTGCTATGTCTCAATCGATTGACTCACTTAGCTTGCTCTTGCTCTGTCAATAACATGTGGCCAGCGCACCTCTCGTGATAGGCCACACCCGAGGGCAAGTTCAGCTCCTGACACAACTCCAAGGCTCTAGAACAGAAATACACAAAACAATTAGTTCACTAGACGGCTACGTAACCCTGAGACAACAATACTAACAACAAAACGTGAACCAAGTGGCTTCAACAAAAGGTAAACGGTAAACTAATCCTTCATGTAACTCTAAGCGGAAGTAGTGGGCGTGATAACGATCAGGGCCCAGTTGTATAAAGGGTAGATAACGCTATCCAACGGATAAGTCGCTATCCGGCGGATGCGTGATAGCAAAACGCACAGCGTTATCCACTGGACAGAGTTTTATCCAGGGCATAGCGTTATCCACTGGACAGAGTTTTATCCAGAGCATAGCGTTATCCACCCTTCCAACAACCGGGGCCTGGAGACTTTGACTCTTGTATTTTCAATCTTTTTCAAAAGTTTTGTCATTTTGAATGGTAAACCCCTGAGTACATTATCTCAGTGAAACAAGCAATAAAATCACAGCAAACTGAGCAATTGTTGCCTATTGTCGCTAAAGAGATGAAGAGGATTGGTTGAAACTGAACAGTTTATTTCTACAAGCTGCTAACGTTCGAGTGACAAATTCTTCACCTAATTCCGATAGCGAAGTCCTTTCAAGCCGTCCAGAATTTAATCAGGAATAAAGGCTGATAGTTTCTAAAGAAACTGTTTGGGGCTGCGTCGGTGGGGGTAACGAAATAATTTGGATATATCAACAAAGTTGAAATGGTAAATTGGCCACCGTAACGATTACAAAGGCTGACGTTTCGAGCGTTAGCCCTTCATCGGAGCGTCAGAATTTAATCAGTTATCTAAACAAGAGTTCTATTGAGGACTAGCCTCGCACGAGCAAAGCAATCTGTCAACCATGCAAAAGCCCTTTCCTTTTGCTGCATCACACTCGTATAAGTTTCTGACCGTTTTCTTTCAGAATTTCAATATGCTAATTCAAAACGAAAGGAAAAAGCGGAAAAGGATAAAGAAGTTATGAAAAAAAAAAAAGAACATGCGACAGATTGATCAGAAAGACCCTCATACGTATTTCACAAGGCGTGGAGCACCGAAAACAACCAGAGTTAGTTAGCCGAACAGGAACTGAGACTCAAAGCTAAGGAGGAGGAGAAAGACTGTGAAAAACAAATTAATGTGCAGAGTAACAACAGGAATAAAGAAAAATGAAAATACAGATACTTAAGGAGACTCTTCACCTCAGATGAACAAGTTTCTTCAACTGACTGTTGTCAAACACCAGGTCCGCTATCAGCTGTTGCATGGCGACAACAGGCAGCGCCAACTGGTGATAACCCAGGTCACGCAGATCACGGAACAACGCTTGCATATGGTACAGACTCAGCATCTGGAAAGAACAATAACACCGCCATGAAATATCTATTCAAGTAATAAAACGCATTTTTCCGGGCTCTATAACCTGAAAAACCCGCACGGGATGTTGGAAGAACACAAGAGAAGCCATCCCAAATGGCTATAGAGCCCGGAAAAATGCGTTCTTGTGCTTTTATGGCGTAACTAGTTACATACGGGCTCTATAACCTGATAAGCATTCACTTGGAAACTGAATTGACCAATCAGACGATGCGTACCATGTTCATTGTGTTAAAATAAATAATAATACTAATAAATCTAAAAAATAACAGCAGCAAACACTCCAAAGTGACGTCCACTAGAATTGCACAGAGAAATGGCTGATACTACTGTCAATCGTGGATTCTTCAATCCATCGCACATATTTTCGCTTTAACTTCAATGAGGAAAACTCATCGTGGATATTTCTCAAGAAAAACTTACTGGAAATGAAAAGAGGAAGGAGACCAATCAGTGGAGACAGTCAGCTAAACCTCGAAAAACAAATTTTACTCTTCGGCGAAAACGATCTTGAAAACGGTACAAAATGGAGTTTGAGACAAAAATTTCAAAACCAGTCCATCAATTTCCATCCAAACGGACTAAAATCATCTCTTTTTTTGCATTTCTAGGATAGCATTTATTGTTGCATCTACACTACAATGACGATATAGACAATGTTAAGAAATAGGCGATTATGGCAAGACGACCTAAGGCTTTGCTACACCTTGATTTCGACTGTATCTCCCCTCAAACATTAACCAGAAGGGAGGAAGATTTTAAGTATAATTAGTGTTAATAATTAGACGATATTAGAGTACCACTTTGTTTTTTATCGGAATTTTAAGCTTTTATCGTTTTAGACTTGTAAGTAGTAAGTAGTGATATGATTTTAGCTGGGTATATCCTATTTATTCTCTAATTCATTAGTTATCTTACTTAATTATTTAGACACGACCCCACAAGCGAAGTGTCGTTTTAAATACTTATCGTGTACAAATAAAGATTATTGGATGATTGATTGATTGATTGATTGAGAACGAAACTGATATCTGACTTTGTTTCTAGCGCTTACCGGCTTCAAGAAGGTTGCTTTGTTAATCATTGTCCCAGTGATGTCACACTTGAAATATTCTTGAAGCTACGAGTCAGAGAGGGAATACAGCAATAAAACAAGGTGATCAAGGAGCTGAAGGATCCACTCATCTAGCGGAACCAATTGAGCATTTCAAAAGCAAACAAAAGCCATTTACCTTTTCGGATAGTTCAAAAGTAGCCCAACCTTCCATTGTGCTCGGAAATAACGTCTTCACTGTCGATTTATCCACTTTTGTTTGAGACTAAAAGTGAAACAAAAAGTAATTTTTTTTTAAATAAAGTTTGGCTCTTTCCCCAAATACTCATGGCTTACGGTACTTACATAACATAATTGTTGCAATCAGCCATTAACATTTTTTTACATCATGTGAGAGCATCATCAAATTCACCCGCAGCACGAACGACTTTCAACAGCTGACTCCGAGAAACTGGTTATAGCCAATGACACGACGGCGAAGCTGATCAATCTGTTTTCACGAACCAGATTTAACGCTCGAACAACTAACAACTCCTCACTAGACCTCAAGATGATTACCGCTCAGGTTGTCCAAACGTCTATCTCTGGGGTCTAGCCAATCACTGTAACATGATTTATGTGAATACTGAACGGAGTTCAGTGATGTACTAACCTCTTTAACTTCCTTGCTTTTTTCTTTTCCCTTTTTAGAGGGAGCTATCTCCCCTGGTTTTCCTCCTTCCTTTTGTATTCGCTCAGCTGAAGAGATTGAGACCTACACACGAGAGACGATTTTCACCATCGTATTCTACAAGGCCAAGTCACGAGGCATAGGAAGCTGACTTAACACCAAACTAATCCAGCAGTCTTAGTAGTACAGTAGTGGCTCTATTAAGGACACTCTCGTCAGTGAACAGGGCTGTTCTTAAGCCCGTCTTCACCAAACCTTGTTTAAACACCCACATAAATCCTGTATAATCACATTCCTGTTGGAGACCGTCGTCGTCGTCGTTCAGAGTTATGTTGAAATTGCAAGAAACCGAGATGGGCTGTGGCTTTGTTGCCATGGTGACCCGCGTTTGCTATTGACGAGACTTTTGTTCTCCTGTTCTCCACCAATACATTATATTATTTTTAAAAGCTAATTTTGTTTTACCTGCCATATCCTGTAGAGGAAGGCGTAAGCTAGCAGTACATAGTCCCTCGAGTGTGGTGACGAGTGTCCTGCGACCTGGGCCAGCATAACATGAACACGCATCAACGTCTCCAGCTGTCTGATATCGGTGATGTCTTGTACCTTCACGGTCACGTCTGATGGGCGCACACCTATCACCGTGCGGTGTTCCCCTGGTACAAATTTAGACGCATCTACCTCGCTTCCGCTTTCACTCCTAACATCATTGTGATCATCTGAAATATTAGACAGCCAAGAAAATGAGAAGAAGAAAACGATCAGACCTACATTCCCCTGCACTGCAGGACCTATGCAAGTGTTCTCTCTCAAGATATTTTAAGACTCTAGGCCTACTGTCTCTTACGAATAAAGCCCTTTCTTATTTAATGTCATCGCTCTGGTTTTACCTCGCAGGGGTTGTGATTGATCCAGAAAACTCGCGCCAACCCTTCGACTAATCAGATGCAAAACCTGGTCAGTCATTTTTCCTCTTGGGTGCATGTTCAAACGTATTCTACTCTCATCATGTTACAAAGTAAATTAAACACTCTTGTGTCTTTCCGGTCTCTGTGCTTTCTATTCAAAGAAAAGCTTTTATCGCTCTATTCCTTTCAGCGCTGACGAATTAACCATGTATTGTAGTTCATATTTGTCTGTGTTTTAAAAAGTCTCAAACAAATTCACTTGTCTTTCTTTGTCTGGTGAAAGATACGAGATCAAATTAAAACATTTGAACCACAACATATGCAACGAAACAAAGCTCAGCAAAGAGAAATTTTCAAATTAAGGATCGAGGGAAATCCGAGATAGCAGCGGTTTAATGCCATGAAGCTTGGTGATTATTCTGGAAATAAACGTACAACCTTCCTCACCAATCAGAAGGAAAAGTACAACTAATCGCTGTTTAGTCACTCATATTTTCCCGCGCTTATCCTATTTCAGTTCTCATTGGATACCTATTTATTGTGATTGGCTGTTTTTGATTACTTTGGGTTTGGTTTTCTGACACACAAACAAAGAACGCTCTAATAAGACATATTGAATTGGTACATGTAAGAATACAGCGCATACTGCAATGGTAAGAATACAGCGCATAGCTCTCTTTACCTTGCTTGCTTTCTATATTTGAGGTTTTGTTCAGCAGAATATCAGACGCCCAAAGGAACTGAAAAAGAAAACGAGAAAAATACGAAAGAAACGTTGGCAAAAATGAACAGGGAAAGGGAAAGAACAGTTCACCTACCTGATCCAAAGCATCCTCTACCGGATACTCATTGACAAATAGCCATTCTCCAAACTCCATTAAGTATTCTACCTTCTGCCAGTCACTCTCTGGATTCTGTAAAAATAAGAAAACATATACCGGATAGTAGTGCACTGGCTATGGTATAGTTCTATCCTCACAGAGGTGAATTTAAGCCAAGTTAAGTAAGTATCTTGGACTTAAATTAGGCGAGACGAGGAGAACCACATTCAGTGTTTGTCAGGTTCTCTAAAAAATTCGATGTTACGCGCACAATGACTCCCAATTGCTGTGTTATTGACTCGTACACGTCTCGCTCACTTTGTTTTAAATTTTGTTACATTAGCGACTCGCACACTCTGTTTCATGCTACCCTGTTACGCTAGTGATTCACGCACTCTGTTTTGTGTTTGATTATTACATAAGTGACTCGCGCACTCTGTTTTGTGTTTGATTGTTACATAAGTGACTCGCGCACTCTGTTTTGAGTTTGATTGTTACGTTAGTGACTCGCGCACTCTGTCTTGAGTTTGATTGTTACGTTAGTGACTCGCGCCCTCTGTTTGTGTTTGATTGCTACAAAAGTAACACGCGCACCCTGTTTTGTGTTTGATTGTTACGTTAGTGACTCGCGCACTCTGTTTTGTGTTTGATTGTCAAATAAGCGACTCGCGCACTCTATTTTGAGTTTGATTGTTACGTTAGTGACTCGCGCAACCTATTTTGTGTTTGATTGTTACATAAGTGACTCGCGCACTCTTTTTTGAGTTTGATTGTTACGTGACTCGCACACTCTGTTTTGTGTTTAGTTGTTACGCTAGTGACTCGCGCACTCTGTTTTTGTGTTTGATTGTTACGTTACTGACTCGCGCACTCTGTTTTGTGTTTGGTTGTTGCGTTAGTGACTTGCGCACTCTGTTTTGTGTTTGGTTGTTGCGTTAGTGACTTGCGCACTCTGTTTTGTGTTTGGTTGTTGCGTTAGTGACTTGCACACTCTGTTTTGAGTTTGATTGTTAGTTAGTGACTCGCACACTCTGTTTTGTGTTTGATTATTAGGTAAGTTACTCGCGCACTCTGTTTTGAGTTTGATTGTTAGTTAAGTGACTCGCGCACTCTGTTTTGTGTTTGATTGTTAAGTAGGTTACTCGCGCACTCTGTTTTGTGTTTGATTGTTACGTTTGTGAGACACTCACTTCGTTTTGGGTATGTTACGTTAGTGAGTCGCACACTCTGTTTCTGGTTCGACTTTTACGTTACTGACTCGTACACTCTGTTTTGTATTTGATTGTTACATTAGAGACTAGTGCACTCTGTTTTGTGTTCAATTGTGGCGCTAGCTACTGGGGCACTTTGTTTAGTGTTTATTTGTTGCGATAGTGAGTCGCCTACTCTGTTTGTCTTTGATTGTTACGTTAGTATCTCGCGCACTCTGTTTTTCTTTTTTGCTTGATTGTTAGTTAGTAGCTCGCGCACTCTGTATCGTGTTTGATTGTTAGTGACTAGTGCACTCTGTTCTGTGTTTGATTGTTACGTCACTGACTCGCTCGCTCTGATTCGTGTTTGACTGTTGCGTTAGTACCTCGCGCACTCTGTTTGGTGTTTGATCGTTACTGACTCGCACACTCTGTTTCGTGTTTTACTGTTGCATCAGTGACTCATGCGCACTGCTTGGTATTTCATTGTGACATTGATGAATCGCACTTTCGCTTAGGATTGATTGTTAAGCTAGGGTATGATAACAGCACCATCGTCTTACGTCAGACGATCCGAAATGGCGCCTACCGACGAACATGTCCAGTAGTATTTCTCGTTTTTGTTTTCATTTCTTTTAACAACCCTTGAAAATACAAGTTTAACAGCAACTCGCTTCATCAGTGGGAGCTTTTTTAATAACCATGACAACTTTTAGAAACAATTTTTTGGGGGCTTGAAATAATAATAATAATAATAATAATAATAATAATAATAATAATAATAATATAAAAGAAAAATCATCGCTCCCTAGGCAGCACCCCTGTGCCGAGTTAGAATAAGTAAATTCAAGAAAATGCAGCCTTAACATCGGCGCAATATTGACATACCTCAAGAGCTTCAATAGCATTTTGATAGGCAGACAGTTGATCCTCTGGAGCCTTGGAATTCAGGGCCACATGTCGCCACATGGCTGCAATTACATCTTCTTTTTCATTCTGCACAAGAAAAGGATAATGAACATTATTATTCAAGACAAATGACGGCAGCGGGGGTTTCTCTTGGAAATCAGGTGTCTTAGTTGCGAATTAAGCTCTGATTTCCTTCTCTATATTTACATCAAATCAACTCATGTTCTTTGAACAAAAGTTTCCTTTTCCTGGTATATGTCAATAACCATATCATTTCATTCAAAGCAGATTTGAGAACATTTGTGACGAGAAAACTCAACTAAAATGAGTCGCGAAAAGTGTTTTACCCTGAATTTTCCCATATCAAATACAACATTTCGTCCAAGCTTGGCTTTTGTGATGACCCGATGTTTAAAGATCAACCTAAACAAAAAAGCAAGATATAAATTCTTTTCCAACGAACATTCTTACCCTTTACCTCTAGTAAGTAAGTCACAACTTTATTTACAGAGGGTAACACATAACAGTTAAAAACTGACGAACCAGTGGCACACCATCCTACGTTAAAAGTTAAAATCTATTTACACTTATGACGTATATGAGAACGATCCTTCGCAGTAAAGCACTATTTGAGCAATAGTGAAAATCAGACCTGAAAAAAATTTCAGGCCTGTACGGGATTCGAACCACTGACCTCTGCGATACTAGTGCAGCGCTCTACCAATTGAGCTAACAAGCCAACTGGGAGCAGGCCATCAAATTAATTCGATATAAACCCGTAGATGATAAATCAAACAACAACAAACATATGAAACATATGTATGAACTGCGGTTATGAGACGTATATGAGAACGATCCTTCGCAGTAAAGCACTATTTGAGTAATAGTGAAAATCAGAAAATCAGACCCGTACAGGCCTGAAATTTTTTTCAGGTCTGATTTTCACTATTGCTCAAATACTGCTTTACTGCGAAGGATCGTTCTCATATACGTCTCATAACCGCAGTTCACACATATGTTTCATATGTTTGTTGTTGTTACACTTATGAAATAATAATAAATAAATACATCTGCCCTTCCAACGTCAATAACCTTGCTTAAGACTTACAGTCTGTGAGAAGTTCTCGGCATGTCCTTGACAGCTTGATCCATGGCTCGTAGTCCCTGTTCCCACTCACCCTTTAGAACACAAAACGATCAGAAACTTAAACGCAGGTTAATTATTTTCTTTAACCCTAAATGTGACACCCCTCACCAATGAAAAGAGAAAGTCACAAGGTATAGTGGTAGCCGCTTAGAAAGACATAAGTAAAAATTTGAATGAAGAGAAATCACTCTGAGTCAGTGATTGACAAAAGGCAGACCAAAATACCCGCATTGGCGTGTAAAACCATTGCACGCGTGTAATTTAGCGGTTGCAGGCAGGGAACTACACGCATTATTCCCACGTATTACACACGCTTGACACGCGTGTAGGTGCTGCAGCATACCTGAGTGGTACTGGAAGTCCAACAGGCAGGAACAATTCCGGACCTCATTCCTTACTTAGTTTAGTTTGTCATCGCCTGCCGCGCCTCTCCACCCTCACAAAATATTAGGTTTTACCCTCCCAACCCTGGAACAACATTCCAGCCTGATCCAACATTGCGTGGAAGGTAGTAGGAGAATCAAATGACTTGATCGCTTACACGGACATTCACGATTGCCATACATTCCCAAGAAAGGCTACAACCCTTTCACTCCTAAGATCTGATTATTACTTCTCCCCTCTTGTCGCTGCACATTTCTATGTAAATTAGTTACAAGAATTTGGTGTTGGATCAATAGAACAATTTCTACCTGACTGGATAAGTTTGAGAATGCTCATAATCCGCTAGGTGAATGATGCATGGATATCATAGGGAGAAGCAACATGTTGATCACTTCTGAGAGTACAGGATTAAATTCAAATTATGTAACCAATCTTTCGTTGGGATGTTATCGATGAAAAGAGTAGGGAAAAAAAAAAAAGGAGAGAGAAGTCCCTCCTCACCTTGTCAGCGTAAGCCTGGAATAACACTCCATACATGGCAGCACGTAGCATCAGATCCTCATCATAAGCACTTGGCATTGCTGCAGGTTTTTCCTCCTGTTCTGCACCCAACTTGCTTTCTTTTGAATCTTCTTTGTCGGTCTTAACTCCTTTGCCTCCAGATTTATCTCCTTCAAAAAAAAAATTGTAAAATAATCGTCGGAGACAGCCAAATGTAGTCCATCGGATCCGCGTATTCAGGGCTTATCAGCGTGGTGCAAGGTCACAGTTTTCAGCGGCAATAACATCAGGTACCAACTTAAACATTTTGCTCATCCTTCTGATGGATAGCTGTTAAAACACGGATTTCTTATAGAAACTTTTTATCGAAAAGGATACATAAGAAAGCCAGCGCCAACGGGAAACTCGACCTGCTTCTCATTTTTTAAAGTGTCTCTGTGACTCACAAAGAAGCCAGAGACAGACACCCTCTCATTTGATCTATCTACCGTGAAGGCTACGGTTACGCAAACATTTAGCCGGTAACCCCATATACCCTACAAAGAGTTTTTTAATAATGGTAATTGAACTGAGTGGAGTGCAATTTGATCTGAAATCATACGCATGATTTCAAAATAAAACGAACGCGCAGCGTGAGTTTGATTTAAAATGACGAGCATAATCTCTGACCAAAATTGCACGAAACGAAGTTCAGTTACTACTTCACTGCATCTATTTTAAAATCGCACAATTCAACCGCTCAAATACAGGTTTTTTTAGTCTGTACAAATATTTTATTGATCCAGTATTGAACTGGTTTATAAAAAGTTGCAGAAGTTGTCTTTCCTTTTCCTTTAACTTGATTGGTTTCTTTAAACAAGCCTTGAAATTCGATTGATTGTTGTGTTTTAGTAAAGCTGTCACATTGGCTGGGGAAAATTTGCGATTTAGAGCATAAAACGATGCGAATCGTGAATAAATAGCACCGATTAGAGCCAATCAGATCGCGAGGGTCGCTACTGATTTTATAATGGAGTAATAAAGACTTTAATTCATTTTGGCTTAGCAGTGCATAGCAGTGTTTAACATATCGTTATAATCACCAGCTTTGCCTTTATCCTTTTCTTTTTCCTTTTCCTTCTTTTTATCTCCTGCAGTTTTATCTTTAGTTTTCTTCCCCTTCTCGTTCTTGCTACTGACGGGTTTCTTCGAGGGCTTCTTTTCTGGAGATGATGATTCTGTTTCTTCATCTTCATCCTAATCGCATGAATAGACTACTTTAAACTATTTAAAGCGAATCAGAGGCAAGCAAACCCTAAAATTATGAGGTCTACAAAACCAAAAGATAAACCAAAAAAATAGGAGATTGGGTCAGATTAAATAAAGAGCCGGCCCGTATTATTTATGTGTAGCATGGTCCTTAACTTCGTGCCTGCCTTCGTGGCTGTCTGCCAACAGAAGTTCGACTGAATTTCATAAGTAAGAACCAAACAAAACAATCGAAGTGTACTGTTCGACACTGCGCAAACTTACAAACTGAATCTAGCAATACGCTGAGGTAGTATAATTACAAAATGATAAAAAAAAGGAATCAGCCCACTTACGTCTTCCTCTTTGCCTACTTCATTAGCAGCAACTGCAGCGATACACTCCAACACAGCTTCCATGGGCTCTCTGAGTAGCTCTCGTTCAATGGGTTCCACAATGAATGGCTTAATAGCATTCCAGTAATGACGGGCAGCAGCAATAACTAAGTCATAGTTCCCGGCTTCTTGCCCAAACCTAAGATGTGACAGAGAGGAATCATGCACAAGAAGGTAAGTTTTGTATTTACCTCAATTGACGCTACACTTCCTCACATTTACTTACTTGAAGCATGAAGTTTTTGCCACCGGCCGAGGCATATATTTCATAATTCTAAAATAACAAATAACAACTGTGGCTGATCATTTTAAAGTATTATGCCAAACGGAAACATGTTTCAACTGAACTCAATTGTTTCGCTTTTTTGCTCAGAATCGTAATTGGTGGGATTTTGATATGTGCATCAACAGTCATGTAGACAACCGCTCGCAGTCGAAAGGCTCTACTGATCGAAAACACGCCGTATCAAGTTCTTCTGATTGGGTACAGTCTGTACTCAAAGTTGGCGTTCATTCAATTGATAATTTTGCTTTTATCCACGGCATCTAGATTGCTGTTTCATTGTCGTAAAACCAATACCACGGAAATCACATCAGCTTATCAGAAAAACGGAAAATACCCTGACAACAACAGCAACAAAAACAACTTTATTTGTTCCCTAAAAAGTCAAAGAGAACTCAAAGTCAAAACAAGCAAACTGCCCCAAGCACGGCAAAACGCGGCTGACTAAGTCATGATTGGTTTTAGCCTCATCTGATTGGCTTAGAGAGTGGCGGGATTTTTCTGAACCAATGGCAGAGCGAAGTAAAGCGAAATCCCAGACTACCGTCCACACTCACTCGTGAATCGCACGTAACAGAGCTAACACTTTACAAAAACACGGTTGTTACCTGCATGCATTCACAAAGCAGACCAGTGCGTCTCTCCTTATCTCATTCTTCCCCTGCATGTTTTTCATGAGGCTTTGTCCCATCACAACGCTAGCGTAATACAACATCTCCTGCTCTACCACAACTTTGTGTTGAAATATGCTGCAATTAGATAGAATGGTATGGTTTTAAGCGGCATTAAATGAAAGGGAATGACATTATTATTTCTATCAAAACACAAGAACTTGATGGGAAGCAAAACCAAATCACAGCTCAGTTAAAGTGATTCAACCTCTTCCTTGCTTTATATATCCAAAGGCAAAGCATATTTATTAGTCTTATGATGAACATAATCTACATAATATTGCAACAGGCGTGTAAAAGAAATGGTAGGGTATTCCAAACGCATAGCTTTTTTGAGGAGTGGAAATTTCCTTTTAGATTTTTAAGTACGATCTAGGGATTTTATTGACAGGACAAAAAAAAATCAATATGAGAAGACCCTCAATTAGATGGGTCATCATGTTGAAAAGGAATGATGCATTAAGAAAAATTTAGTACGATGGAAAGGTAAAAAGGAAAAGCGAAAGAGGAATAGCATGCAGAAAGGTCACTGGAAAAGGGAAAAACAGGGCGCTTTCAACACACCAGTTACAGAGGCTAGCTTACTGAGCACTTAAAAGAGGAGTTTCCCAGTTAGAGAGAGAAAAAGAGTACGATCGCAATCATACCTGTCTGGTTTCTTGGGTTGTCGTTTGGCTAAGCATTTATCACTGTCGGCAAATTGGACGGCCCTCTGTCCACAGTGAAGGACTAGTGAATGATTCTCAGCATTGAAAGCCAACACTGAAAGCCTGCTGCACATCTGTAACTCCACTAGACCGTCACTCCACTGGCAGCCGTCCACCATTTTCACAGTCTGCAGTAAACAAAGAAACTCAATTCAGTTGCCACTGATTTAGTACGTTCGTTGTTGTTAAATGGACAAGCATCATCTCGAACGAATATTTCTGAATTCAACAAGCAGAAATAAATCAGCTTTTCTCTGAGAAGACAATGCAACAGCACGACAAGACAGCCCCTTGTCTGAAACATTTGCAACAGAAAAGAAAAGAAAGGCACGAAGGCCAAAAACCAACTAGGGAAGGTCAGCCAGTAGATAGGGGGCACAAAGCTCAGGATCATATGCAGTGGTCGAGAACTGTTGATGCTTTCTGCTTCACAGCTGAAGCGGGACGGAAAGAAAGAAGAATTTGTTGTTACTGACTGCAACTGAAGGACGTCTATACTAGAGATTATGTAAGTCACTTCTTTTGATGAAAATAAGAATTGATTCTCGAGTGGCACCTTTATAATGTAAATAGACTTAATGAGCTATATTTCTTTCAATAACCGTTCGATGGATATTGTGGCAACAAAGAAACAGTTCCATTGGAGAATACTTGATGATAAGACAAAACGTTTTCGCCATACATTGTTTTTACTGCCAAAGAGAAATGGAAAACAAAACCTCGCTGCAGCAGAATTTCCTCCAAATCCTTTACAATTTCTCAGGAAAGCCCCCTTTCAAGTCAAGGACTCTGACAAATTTCTTTTTTGACAATATTCGTTCATCTACATTGCCAGGGAAAACTTCCTAATGGTGAACTTACTGTTGTTACAACTCTTGAAAGAGCATAAATCACGAACTCACCTCGGCAAGAGTCGGACATGTACCAGTGAATTCTGGCAAGCCATTGTTCTGTAGAGACAACATCTCAACTGCACACAGAGCACGGCACATCGGGCCTTGGCTATGGAGATTCTGAAAATTGAAGTTTTATCAAAATAAATTCATTCTTGAGCTGACGAGAGGAGAGAACGTTCAAAACTGTAATGCCACTGCGGTACTCAGTGGCAAAACCTAACCTCATCATCATGACCAAGATTCTTTGCCATCTGTTGATTCAACATCTGCTTACAGAACACCCAGGAAGTGATTAAGGGATGGCGAGCACCAATCGGTACCAGGTTCTTTGGCTCTTGACCATTACTTATGTTTAATGCATACTCCAACACCTGCAGAACAGCGCAGAACGAAATTAATCAATCGTATTACTAGTAACAGGGCCCAAAATTAATTCGTCCACGCCGGCGTCGAGCGGCGATTAAACCATTTAGTTTCAATCGCCAGACGCACAAACTCGGACTTCTCTATCGAAATCACAGCGCGTTGCAACAAATTTTTCCCTAAAAAAAAAAGCCATAGCCGCCTCCAAGAAGGCTAGGCACTCCAACAGAGAGAGCTCGCAAAGAAGGGATTTCAATGTGAATTTCCAATTCCAAAATATAAAGCGTGACGAATGGTCAAAAAAGAGAAAAGAAAATCTTCGACGCTTGACAGGATTGGAACCTCAAATCCCCGCGCCTTTAAAGTGTCTTATTGACGCTCCACATGTAAAAATGTAAATTCATACGGCCATACTTTGCCACAATTTTCACGGATCTCACGCAACATGTGCTAGGTTGTTATAAAAAAAAAGTCACTCTTACATCTAATGCTTGTTTCAGATCGGGCGTAGCTTCAGGATCGACTGTAACAGTCTGTAGTGAACCTTTTGATTGCCCTCCCCTAGCCCCTTTGCCACTCTGCCGTCCCTTTACTTTTTCAGTCTTCTCACTCTTGTCTTTACTGGGTGTGGCTGCTGCAGGAGGAGGAGGAGGAGGAGGAAGGGCTGGGATCCACGGCTGCATGTAACCTTGAGCAATGGCATTACAAATTTGGCACAGTAATGTAGTTTCACTGTTGAAAAGAGAAGTGTGAACTGAAATTTTCTCCAGAAGTAGTTTTACTTTATTGTAATACAAGAATTCACTCGTAGCATAGTATGTTATGCCCAATAATCCTAGATCGCTCGACGAAGACTGACAGTAAAACAGTTTCATAGTGACTCAAACGATTTAACGCTCGAAATATGACACAGACAACGCCCTAGTAATTCAGAACACCTGAAAATTTCGAAGAGGTCGTAAACCCTTCCCCTCTTACAATTACGTCCGTAGTGGACTATTGCTGGAGCCTAACAAGCCTCATTTTCATCCGAGTTTAAATAAAGTCATTATCATCATCATCATCATCATCATTAAACTAGTAAAGTTAAACCAAGGGTGGTTTAATGCTTAAAATGCACTATCAAGATTGACAACAATAAAGAACACTGTCGTGTAAAGGAGAACAATGTGAGTCTCTATGTAGAATTAACAACCTTGGCCGGCCTCGCTTAAATTGCAAACAGGATTATGGTATGAGGTTCCATCAACTCACCAGTCAAAGGCACTGAACCAGTCAAAGGTAAGTTAGAAGGAGCCTTCAAACATTCGACAAATTCGATGATTTGAGCGGAGGTTAGGTTTAAGACTTCAAGCCCTTCGGATATCTTTTCAAGACGAGTTTTGTGACTTTGGAGAAAACAAAACTAAAGCCTACTTGCAAGAATTTGACATTTTCATGAGAAGATTTACTGCCTGTATTTACGTTCATATCATATTGATCCTAAATCGTTTCAGGAACCGCGTGAAAGAACCTTTCCTTCATTTAACTTCCTTTACCCAAATGTGTTGAACCCGTTTCGCTACAGTCGAAAACCTCATAGAAAAATGCTCACCCTGCATGTCCAGTAAGCTTCATTGCTTCCAACACAGGCGAGAATATGGGAATGACTTCCTTGTGTCTACCTTGTGACAGCATGTGGGTTGTATAATTCCACAAATACACAGCTGAATTGCAAACAAGCCATGACTCTTTCAGCTCTACGCCGATTTCAGCAGCTCGCTGGAAACTGTAAATCACCTCATTTGACAAAGACGAAATCCAGTCGCTAACAAAATAGGGAAGAAATATGCGAGACATAAATCTTAACAAAACTTACAACAATAAGAACATCGCATCATCAACACCTGAAACGGCTTAAAAATTTGAACTACCAGAAGTGGCCAACAAGGAATTTTTTCTGTTAATATCAATACACCCCCGAGCAGAATGGTGGTAAAAGGAAAGAAAAATATCAAGAAGGGGATATTCTTTGAAATAAGGCCTTCACTAGAAGGAATGGCGTTTACAAATTACTCATATGGAGAAGTACTCTCAATAGGAAGAATATGCAAGGTCCCACCGACATGTACCGTAAATTCAAATACACTGCAATAATAACTTAAATCATCGGAGAAACGACTGTCTTAAAATGTTCAAATTAATTTACAGACATGACTGGGGGTATAGCATGTATCCCGGGCCATACAGAATCCTATTCTTTTAAAGTTACATTTCCAGGTAAAAACGAACACGTGGCTGAGCTAGAACAACAGCAGTCTCAATCGCAGCCGCCCTTTAGGATGTCACTCGACGCTCTCCCTCTTAAAGTCAGCGTTGCATAACATCCCAAAGAACGCTTGCGAAAGAGACTGGTAGCGAGTGCGACTGCACGAGGCGCGTCATTCGCGAGGAAAGAATCGTGAAAAGAAAGGAGCTCTTTCACCCAAAGTTTGTGAATTTGAGTGCTAGATGGGTATAGATTTGTTGTATGATTTTACAACCCCGGTTCTTATTCAAAGCTACCATTTTGAAAAGAAGTACACACATGTTGCTTACCAATAGGAGACCCATTCTGGCATATCATCAAAGTTGACGAGCTGATCACCGTATCGCTTGGGGCGCAGCTTGATGGTATCCTCAGGTGGCACGGGTTTGTCACCCAGTTGGACTCCTTCTGTTCTTAGTAACTGTACCAAAGCCTGCAGGGATAGAACAATTATAAAGGGAGGGTTAGGGGTCACAATGACAAAAAAAAAAAAAAAAGAATGCAGTGGAAAAAATACGCTAAAGAATTCACCCACAACGATAATCCAGGGCTGTGGTTTAGCAATCTTGCGTTGAACTTCCACATACTTCATCAGAAGAAAAAAGCTAACGCAAGAGTTTATTTTTAAAAAGAAAAAGAATCCCTTAATGGAAATACTGAACTAGACAGTCATGCTGCGTACGAATAGTACGCGAAAAAAGGCGACATAAATTGTCTCATAAAGATAAAGGCTGTGTGATCCAGTTTTGCAGCTGAAGTTTAGTTAAATGCAATCTAGAAATGACTCGGTAGAACACAATTGATTTTTCAGCTTGACCTTTCAACTCCCAGCCGATATCAACGGCATGTAATTTTTTCCTAAAGTATCCATACATTATCCAGCAAACAAGTAATTAGAATACTCAAACTTGTCAAAAATAGAAGTTGTTATCTTGATCTAAAACCAAATTCTCCTAACTGTTTTACAAGGAAATATGTATCAGCTAGAGGGGAGAATTTATCAATGAGATCTTGGCAAGCAAAGGATTAAAGCTGATAACATTTGATTATTTGTTATGATCAGAACCTCCTTTGTTATCTAGATCTCTACAATGGTTTAAAACCATCTTTCCAAAAACTCAAGTTCTGATTGTAGTTCGACTCTCGTCCTCTATGAACTTCAGTTTACACACCTCAGCAAAAATAAAACGAACTTCAGCCAGTGTCCTCAACAAATCCTGTTCCACAGTAAAAGCGGTCATACCCTTGGGATACAACAGTTTCATCCCTGTTGAATCAAGTCTGCCGCCAACTTCGCCTTGTAATGGCGACTTGCTCACTGTTGGATCATCTCTCTCAGTGTTACCATCACCATTTTTCTCTGAGGTGCTCCCGGATTGTTTCTTTGACCAACGATTGTCATCGTAAAGAAGGCAGAATCTAGCAGCCACGCGGGCAACATCCCAGACCTGTTGTTTACGCGCAGTCTTGGCTAAATCTGCCCAAATACGAACTCTAGAGGACCAGTAAGAACGTATATCAATTTTTGGCCGAGAAATCTGCTCATTCATCCTCTCTCGTCTCATCTAACACTAACACTTACTCACAAATTAAAATTTGTAGTTGCAAGAGATTATAATCTCTAGGTAGTTGTCGTTGAATAAGCACTGCAAGTGACATTAACAGATGTGTTTGTGTATTCTTTTTGCAAGAGGTTATAATCTCTTGCTTGTTGTCGTAGTATAAGCTCTGCAAGTATCACGAACAGATGTGTTTGTCTATTCTTTTTGCAAGAGCTTATAATCTCTTAGTAGTTGTCGTAGTATAAGCACTGCGGGTATCTTTAAAAGTTGTCTTTGTGTATTTTTTTGTCCTCACCTTTCTTGATCGCTTTCGTCTCCCAGCCTCTTCAGATGACCAACAGCCTTACTGACTCCTTTCTCAAACTGCTTGGCTCTTCCAGCCAGTCTTCCTAATGCAGTAGGTGGACCCTTACCAGTAGATGGGTCCTTTGTATTACTTTCACCGTCAAGCACATGCATGAAGGCATCTGGTGACAACGCCTCTCCTGCCTTCACCAAAGAAGCTCTCTTCATACGTACTGTGCTGGAGTCATCACTAGCCCTTGCCTGTAAGAGTTAAAAAAAAAACAAACAAACAAACAAACAATTAACATTCGGCAGCCACATTATTATTGTAATTGTCATTATTACAAAATGCAGCGCCTAGGATTTACCAGCCAGGGCTCAAAACCAGACGTCACAATTAGCATGAACAACTGCATGTCACGCAGTTTTTTTTTTTTTTAGAAGTTAGCAAATATTTCAGACCTTTTAATCAGCTTAACAAATAGTTTCCACGTTGCAATGTGTCTGTTCAGTAATAGATCAAAGATGATGTCAAAATGTGGCAAGAACAAAAAAGTAGCCCATGAGGAGCACTCAAGTGTGTCACTGATGCCCTACGTCTTCTGTGATCTATTACTACTGAACGGACTCATGAAAACATGGAAACTATTAATTTTATATGATAAAAAGGAAAATTTTGTTAATGGTCATGCCATCTACAGTATCAGTGCTCCTGTTCTCCAATAAATCACAAGCAAGAGCCAATCATAATGCATGAATAATTCAGCTAATCATAATGTAAATAATAAATTGACTGATTGATTCACCACTTGTTTTAATTAACACAGCCTATTGAAGATGATGTTGCTACTGATGTTATCTTAATTTCAATACTCCCTCATGATTTCTGTTGAAAACCCACCGAATATTTTTCAACATAAAAGGTACAACTTACAATAAAACTGCACTGACTGAAATCCTGAAGGTGCAACAAGAGAGTCAGCCTAAAAAAATTTTCAGCTTTTTGTTGATCAAACACTCTAGTGTTCTAACCTGTTCTATAATCATAGCAGCCAAATCTTCAGGCCTTTCTGGAGTTTTGTAAAGAGTAGCCCTTAGCTGAAGCCTTGTCAGGGCAGTGCGTAGTCTATCACCATACTGTCCCGAGTCATCCAGTTCTAGTGCCTTTCTAAGATGCGTAACAGCATACTCCAGTTGGTCTTCAGCCTCTTCACATTTAGCTAGTTCTGTGTGCATCTGGCATCGTAACAGAACCAACAGACTAAAGGAAAATATACACAACGGGATTAGTGATCTTCAAATATTTGAAGATTTTCATGCTTTATACACTTATAAGCAAAAATGGAACATTGACCAATTATGATAGTGATAATGATGTGCTCCGATGTGCTTTAAGACACTTTGCAGAGGAATTTGGCCATACTGCATTGAGCAATTTACAATTTTATGGAGAGGATTTTGCATGTGCCCTTAATTTAGAAATTTTAGGAAACAGGATCAGACCACAACACCAGAACTATGTTCCCTACTCTTGTGTGGGTTCTTTAATGTCCCCTGCCAATTAACCAGTACAGAGAACATAGAGGGGACAGGGCCAATGGTTTTTTGTCCTTATCTGAGAAGACTAGAATGTCTAACCATTTGCAGAGGTCATGGCCAAAGGCAGCACATTCTCCTCAGTTTTTTAAGACCCTGAATGTTGGTCCTGTCTGGATTGATTTATAAATTAAATTAATTAAATCAAACTTTCATGTACTTTCAAGAATCTCAAACTAACTAACGATAAAAATACCAAACTGAAGATTGGATTTTTAATTACTGGTATATATTCTCTTGACATTTGGAAACAAATGAAATGTTTTTTTTTTCTAAATAAAAGCTTGTTGTTTGTTTGTTTACTGTACCTGTCAATGTCTTCCAATGCTTGTGCAGCAAGGGTAAGAGGCTTTCTCACGTGCTGTCGCAAATTTGACTGTAGAAGAGGCAGGGTAAGATTCCACATTGTCACACATCCTGTCTGCAAAACAATAAAAAATGAACTTTCATTACAGTGGCATATGCCATAAATAGTCATAACACTATAACTCTCCACTATTCTTACTAGTTGGACTTACTATTCCATCGGGAGGGGGGCATTGGGGCCTCTGGGAAACCGCAAAACCGGAGGAAAAAACCTCCAAAACTGAAAAACTGACAAAAAAAGGCAGCAAAACTGAAAACCCCAACATTTTCACCTTTAAAGGAGTCAAAAAGGAAAAACCAGAAACCGCATTAGAGTTTTCGTGAAAACCGAAAACCGAATGCAAAAACACGTAAAAATCCACAAACCGCTCTGAACATCAAAACTGAAAAACTGAACCTTTTTGGCCCAAAAACCGAAAAACCAATCCAAAAAACAGTCAAAACCGCAAAACCAAAAATCCCAAAGCCCCCTCCATAGGTGTCCACTCTTCACTCTTAACCGATGTGTTCATTAGACAATCATAAGTACAGAAAGTATCATTAATAAATACTAGCTACAGTGAAAAGAGTAATTTATTTAATAAGAAAGTTATCAGACCTGTATGATATTTGGATTTCCAGTTCTAACAGCTGTCATCATACACTGCTCAAGTTTTCTGATTGCTTGAATACGTCTCTGAAAGAAAAGACACATGCAACCATAATGTAATATTGTTAAAGCCCAACCTTCATTCTGGATATAAAATAGTTCCAGCAGGTCTTCATCTGACCAACAGTCAAAAAGTTAGGGTTGATTATTTTAATAAAAATGAAGTCTAATTTAGGCTGTACTTTTGGACAATCAATATTATTATACCTTGATATTTCTTTATATTAAGTGATTATTTCATGGAACTAACTTAATGTTTCTATTCCCTAAGTATACAAGAAATAATAAAAAAATGGAAAGTGAATTTCATGTGGCTTCAAAATCAGAAAATGGATGGCTCCAAGGTACACTCATGAGGTTCACCCTTTGTTTTAAATAAAATACTTGCCTCCACCACCGATTTGCTGTAATTTTCTTTCTTTTCTCCAAGGGACTGAACCATTAACTCACACTTCATGAACTCAGTTTCCAGCAATGTCTCAGAAGTCTGAAATTACATATACCACGTTCTTTAGATTCGTCTTAAAAAATCATACATATTTACTTCAGATTGATGTATTTAGAATCAATAAAAACATAGGGCCCATTGGTATTGAAATATAAGAATCCCTTGCAAGGTCTTATGATTCTACTAACTTGACCAAACCATCTTGTTATCTTTAATTCTGATGTTTTTATCATGTGATTCCAATCCCCTGCTACAATTATTTCAGTCAATTCAAAAGACAACACCTTGAAGATCTCTTGGTTCCTTGATGCAATTACTTCTTGCTTCCCACCATGGATAGTGCTTTGATCCAGTGTTAGGTTCACATTTACAATCCCAAATCTCGATCACTTTTACTTTTCCCTCAAATTCCAGAATCCCTGGTTCCTATAGAAACCCTTAAATGGGGACCATCTTTGACTCTCTAGAGGAAGCCAATCTTAAGGATATAATGTAATAGCACAATACAATCACCCACTGACCACAAATAAAGAAGATCTTTCCAAAACCTTGATCAACAAACTACTACTTGCCTTAACACCTCCTTTAAGATTTTCAAGACACTCTGAAGCTAAATCGTGTCTGTCATGCTCCAAGCAGAGTCTAGCCAACTCAATAAGTAGTGGTATCCTAAAGAAGATTGAGTGCAAAAAAGTCAGATCCATTAATAAATCAAAGTTTACTCTGTATATAACTCACCAGCAGGTAATTTTGGAGCCTTGGTTGCCAAAAATGTTCAATACTTTTAAGGTATATTTATGCAGACAATAGCACTGTTAGTGTCTTTCCTGGTTTTCAGCTCAACAGGTGAGGTTGTTTTCCAAAGTTGTTGTATCAATATGTGCAGTCACAAGTGGTAGATTTTAGCTGTAAGAGTTTGATGGGAAAACATTGCATTGTACATACTGAATTCTACGTGGTCACAGTACTTTTTTTAATAACCTGTCATTACTACCAACAACATAAGGAGAGCTGGCCTTGCTGGTTGGAGTACTGGTGGACATGGCTGTACTAGCTCGATCTGTGGCATCCACCCCCTTGACTATTGATTTGTAGACTTTGTTCAGTTCTTGTTCTATGTCAACTTTTTCATCTGCTTCAATCAAGCTGTTAACAAAATGTGACATTATCAATTGTAAACCACTAACCATACTAGAGGTCTTCAATAGTTTCTGTTGTATGGCCTAGAAATGTACAAAGTTTTAATACATAATGTACCAGTATCAGTATACGGCTACAATGTTTTGACAATTGAAACAGTTGTTCTACTCATGGATTTACTCTTAGCACAAAATTCTGAAGAATTCTAATTTATGATATCCCTTTCAATATAAATATTGATCACAATTAACTCACGTTCTCAGTCTTTGGATCTTGTAGAACATGTACAACTCATTGGAAGCTCTTGCTTCTTTTGATGCTTTTGACAAATCAATCAGTCGATGACGAACCTAGCAATTAAAGAATTAAAATACAGTATGACCAAATTAGAAATGCGAAGAGTCAAAATAAGACCTGAACAATTGATCATTGATCATTGCAGACCTCACCTGCAGTCCTAGAACAGTTGTGTATAATGAAGGAACGTTACTTTTGGTGAAAGCCAAGGTGGCAATACTGATTTGAGTAGCATCTTCCTTGCGACCAGCATCCACATGGCATTCAATAAGCGCACTACCCAAGAAAAAAGAACGAATTCATTCAGTTAGTAAGGCAGAGGTACTGGTAAGATTGATCTTAAAGCTATGTGCTAATCATAATTAATGATACAACATTTAAAAATAATTGAAAAAGTTTATTGCAGACTATCAAGTTGAATTTATAAACTCAAGGCTAATTTTGGTTCATTTCAAGATTTTCCTAGGGTTCTTTTTTTTAATGTTTTGAATGACTTAAAGATTGAGAATTTGATTTCAAAGAAATGGGAAAATAATAATCAGTGAGTCACACTGATTTTTAGTCATCATGATCCATACTCAACATGAATTTCCAGGTTTTCCCTGACATGTACAAACCTTGCAAAACAATCTTTCTTTCTTTCCATTTTAATATAGACAGAGAAACAATCACTTTTAGAACTCTGCTAATTCTTGTTATTGCAAATTTCTAAGCATACATACAAGAAGAAGGTCATAAGCAAGAATAGTCTAATGGAAAGAAAGATACATGCAGAGGGGGAAAACAGAGTGAAGGTCAGGAAGAGCTGAGAGTTAAAAAACTTCTGTTATCAATAGTACTTTGCTTTACTGAATTGCATACAAGTCAGAAAACATATGGTAAAAAAAAAAAAACATAATGCTTACATCATTAGCTGAGCTCTCCAGCCATAATCTTTGTCATCAATATCATCCAGAGCTTTCACGACCTGATGCAGACTTTTGGCTAAATATTGACGATAGTTGGGCTTAAGGAAAGGACGACAAAACTGCCAATACAGCACTGAAGCATTGTACACCAAGAAGTAGTACCTGTAATGAAATTTAATTTAATTTGTAGACTGAGGTATATTATAGACAGCCATTTCTTATAACTTTAAGAATTGAGATACAATGAATATATGAAGTTCATATATTTTGAATAATTCTCACAAACTTTAAGAATTCTACATCAAGCAACACAAAATAAATAGAGTTTCATTTATAACAATTAAAAATAAATAGAGTTTCATTTATAATAAGATTGCAACTTGTACCTGACATTCTTTTTGGCAAAGTTAATTGCCTTCAATAAGAATTCCACTGCTTTGTCAAGTTGCTCCTGTAAAATCATTATAATGCTTAGCTCAGTGAAATTGTGTGGATGCCAAAAGTAATGTCAGCTGGGGAAGGGACTGAAGTAGATTACATGCAAAAAAGGTTATACATTTAATAATGAGCTTTTTTATGTTAAAGATCAGTGAGGTATCGAATACCAAAATATTAGTTTTTCTTTTCTGTTCAGAACTCAATATACAAAGATGTTACACTGTTATTATTCATATACAAACTAGCATTTGAAGCTCTTTTCTTTCAGATCTTTCATCTCACAAAAGAATGTTTGTGTGGTTACTATTTACAATGTAACTCCTTTCAAAACAGCAGATCCACATTTCAATTTTTAATGCATTTTAAGACTGCTTTTGAACTGATAGGTTAATCTTTGGAATCTCAAACCAGTGACTCAAAACAATAATTGTTGACAGTAAAATGAAATTTCACTGGTGTCTTAATTATAATTCTTCTTTCAACATCATCGAAGGTTGAAAGTAGATAAATATAGACAAATGAGTCCATAACAGCTCTCTGGAGAGGAACAACTTGTCTCAGTTATTTTGAAGGATAGATAATGCTATCCACTTGATAAGCATTAGCCACCCTTTGAACTGACCCTAGGGGTTATGATAACTTTTTCCATAAGTGGCTGCCAATAATGTGATAAGCAGCTATGTACAGAAAGGGCCTATAAGGCAAAACCCAAACATTAGAGCCTCATGCTAAAAAGCTAAGCAGACTGTCCAGGCCATAGACTACTGATAAATGGCCCCTAGAACAAACACAGGTTGTATTAGTTATGATAGGAATAAGATAAAACTTACTGGATTCTTAGAGGAAGTTGGAGCATTGAGCTGAGCTTGACACAAATAGGCTCGACATAAAAACTGATTTGAGGGAGGAGTCTTGTGAAAAAACATTTTTATACAGTCATCCATGACATCAAATTGACCATGCTATTCAGGGAAAAAGAAAGGCACTTGGTGAAAATAAATAAATCGATGAACAAAAATAAGAATGTGAACAAATTAAAAAAAAAATCATATAATAAATGGATTGTAGTTATGTAGTGGCAATTCCATTGGGTCAGAGTGGATCGTCTTACAGAAATTCCTGGAGACAGGAAAAGCACCATTGTTGCCCTGTGTTTGTGAAGTGAAGGGTATATAAGACCAAGTTGCAATGAAGTGGCGTACACACAAAAAGATTATAGAGGTTTCAGATTTTAGAAGCTAGAGCAAAGAACAAGTTGTATGCAGTGGATATGTTATTCAGCTTCTCAGTGATGATTTCCATCAATGCTATGCAGTTAGACTGAAAGTCAGTTTGATGAACCATTTATTATACGAATGCTGGATAAATAGTATCTTTCTTTTGTTACTGTTGCTTGCATGTGTACAAAAAAGGAAGTTTTGGTCATTTTGTATTATATTGTTATACTTTCAATTCAATTTTTCATGATTTAACCACTGTAAACATTTTCGCACAGAACATTTGACACCTCAGACATATCAGGGTAAAGTTTCTGCACTGTCCCAATTACTTCATTATATCTACCGTTCTTGGATAAATAGAACAATGGTGGAAAAAAGAGATTACCATTAGGGCTATGGCTTGGTTTTAGAATTGCATCATTGAATAAAATCTTGCATTCTGATTGGATGACAAAGCGAGGTATTTAGCATGGAATTGCAAGTTGAAAACAAGGCTAAGTGATATTGCTTCGCATCTACATATACATAACTGAAATTAAAAGTAATGCTGTTTTCTTTTTTTTCTTATTTTTATTCAATAATGTGATTCAAGGAAAATCCATTACTCGACTCATGAATTCCACGTTAAATTGCACTTGAAAAGCGATATCGCACTCATTGCTTTGCGACTCGTGTAATATCAGTTTTTGCATGCAATTTATTGTGGATTTCCCTCATAAGTAATGAATTTTCCTGTAGAATAATGTGGGCTCTGCAGAAATCTTATTAATATCTGGACCAATGGAAATTTTTCCTTTTCACTGAAAATTAATTACAGTGAGCCTTTCTCCATGCTATCTAAATTTTCATCCACCAATAACGTCTTATCTAAAATACCTTTAAATGGAATACTTAATTGGGCTTAATTAATTAATTTAGCTGAATGCAGACAATTTTGATCAAATTAGAATTTACTTTTATTATGTACAATGTTTAAAGTTTCATACAGGCATTGGGGCACTTCCACCCGAAATTCTAATCCAGTTCAATTCAAACTCCTCTCTAATTGAACAGCTGATATAATACAACGTACCTTTTGCGCTGCTTCGGCGCACAAGACGAAAAGATCCGATGAAACTGCATCGATTTTGTCATCAGATGATTGCCTTTCCTTCTTCAATTTCTTGTAAGCCTCAAACAACGCAGACTCGTTATTATCTTGCGACGCTGCGTGAACGAGTTTCCGAATATTGCTGTCCATCTTTTTGCCAACGTTCGTATAGGTTTGAACAATTTTTAAGCGTATTTTTAAAATGTTTTCTACAAATTAACCTTAAATACGTCCACCATATTGGATTTTCTCAACACCGTCGCCATGGGAATGAAATGCGCGGGAGTTTTGATTTCTATCACGTGATACAAGCTGATCGAGGAAGCTTGGAACCAAAATGAGTGGGAGGAAATTTTTCCAGCCTCAATGTGTGGAGTGGACGGTCTGACAACAGTCAACATGAAAGCGTCCCGATCGTTCAAAACACCTGGTGTGTTCCGCATCTGAAGCTTGAGAGCTTTGTTTTCACGTACAAGAAGCAAGATGCACCATCAAAAGATAATTCCCCAGCTCTTATATATAGTGGGTGGAAATCAACATCCTACGGACGAAGTAGGTGAAATTGCATGGCGATTTCCCTTTCTACTTCAAGGTAAGAACCTCTTTTAAAGAATTTCACCATAGATATTGGTTCGTAATTAAACATTATTACTTTCAACGAAAGAATCAGACTCGTGGCTGCTTCAGCACTCTTCAGCCGATTTTCACTTTGTCGCCATTGTGCTAGTTCTACTCACACATAAGACAGCTGATCTCGAAGGGCGGAGAAGACCTGACGAGATGATTTTGTATCAAGACTAACCAGATCAAAGTCCATGATCGTTGTCACGTTAAAAATATGATTTCTTTTTGTTTTTAACAACTGAGCGAGTTCCTAACCTTGTAAATGCTGCGTGTATATTCTTAATTCACTTACGAAATACACGTTGCAGATGTGGACAAACTCCAACGAATTTTTAGAACGCAACGTTCTGCCTTGACTCCGTATTGGGCATTCTTCCATTCTCTAAAATTATGAAATCAGCCACTCTTTCTGTAATTTAGTATGTAAAGCTAGGGTAAGACCATCATGTGGTGAACACAGTTCCTTTTTATTAGAATTTATTTTTCGCGAGATACTTCTTGCAACAATAGTCCATCTTGTTTGAATTAAACTTTGGACCAGAACTGACAGGCTTTGAAGTATTGGTATTCAAGTTTTACATTTGAGACCAGATGCTGATCAGTGTATCTGATCATTGGTTGTGCAAGATTTCACATGCTCTGACACAACCTTTGGGTGGGGTTTTCTATCATTCTAATATACATGTGCTGCCATCTGAGAAATTGTTTCACATAGGATCCAGGCTATTACACAAGGAAAATTTACCGCACAATCCATCAGATTTAGATTTATTCAACACATCAGCATTACTCACCATTCAAACAACCAATGCTCTTTCTATGTAAAACTGTTCAAAAATCCTTTGATTTCCCTTACCATGAGACAAAACTGAAGGAAAAAAACAGCTAAATAGTGCTTTGAACAACTCAAACCAGGTGCCTATACTTTTTTTACAGGACTACCCCAACAACCACACCAGACAACTGATAGTTCATGTCCTAAATTTACCGAAATTCTTTGTTTACTGTGATCAATTATGAAATAAATTGCTTTGTAAAATTGCAAAAGACTACGCTGAAACGATAAATATTCCTTTGATTTGTTCTATGTGGTGTTTTAAAAAGCAAAGGAAACATAATTATACATTGTTTTATTACACGACTCAAGCAGTCAGGAGGCCAATAACTAAAATCAACCAATCAAAATGCTCTATTGCCAGTCAATATTCTCTCAGTATTGGACCGGGCACTGTCCCGAATGGTCCTGAATGATACTGCACTTGTGTCCCTTCAAACTTCAGTCGTATAATAAATCTCCTATTAACCAAGCTTTCTCGGGACTGCACTGGAAGAATATCAGCCCTCGGTCTTTTTTGTATGGACCTCGCTGCGCTGGGTCCATACTGTCAAGACCTCAGGCCGATATTCTCCCAGTACAGCCCTCACACTTGGTTAATAAGATATTATATGTAATAACCTGCATAGTCCACATTCTCCTTGTAGTCTGATCATCACAGCTTGAGAATTTCTGAAAAAGACTCTGTTGGTGATAGTGACTGACATTTCAGCAACCTGAGCAAAAGCCATCATTAGAATCAAGCAAAGGTTGTTTGTCAGTCAAGTGTCCGGTAGTCTGATCCTTCATGAGGGTAGTCCTGAGGGGAACTGCTCTCAGTAATGGTGACTGACACTTTTGACAACTTTGCATTGATGGAAGTCATCATCATTTGCATCCAATAATGAATTCTGCTAAGGTTTTTGAAATGTCAGGCAATCTTACTGACAACACATTCTTTCTCAGTCCTATTCTCCCCTTAAAGGTTAGACTTTGCTTTCAAATGTTAGCATTGGATTTAAACCATTGAATGTTTGTCTGGTTTGTGAAAACCAGTTGATCACTTGACTCTGATAGTCACTTCGTCCACTTTGGTTGTGAAATATTGGTCACTGTCAACAATTACACTTTTTTTAGGACTATTCTCACCAGGACGATCAAACTGCTTTGTCTCTTTCAATTGTGAATATTAATTGGCCACCGTAGAAAGATTATAGAGCAGATATTTTGAGTGTCAGCCCTTCTATGTAGCAATAAGCTGTTACTGCTGGGTACAAGCTTTTAACTCCTAAGATCTGATTGTTAGTTCTCCCCTCTCGCTACCACACATTCTCTTGTTACTTAGTATGAGATGCTAGTGTTACATCAAGATAAGAACTTTTACCTGATGACTTTGAGTATTCTTATTACCTGTTTAAGTTTAAATTTAAGTTTAAGTTTAGTTTAATTCATTCGCCACAGGAATGGCAGGAGAAAGGAACAGAACTTTCGTTTCAATCAACACCTAACCTCTTTTTTTACCCACCCAGGGTAGGACATCCAGGGTAGGACAGCCCTCACCACAGTAATCTCGTGTGTGGGAAATTAACGTCTCCTACCCCAACCCTGCAGGAGACGGGACCTCCATTTATCGTCCCTATCTGAGAAGACTAGAAAGTCTAACCATTTGCAGATATTATTACAAAGGCAGCACTTTCTTCTCAGTTAATTAAAGACCCTGAGTGTTGGTCCAGCCGGATTTGAACTCATGACCTCCCGCACAACAGTCCGGCGCTCTACCAATTAAGCTAACCGGGATAATGTATGGATAATTATAGGGAGAAATTACATGTTAATCACTACTAAAGGTTGAAAGATTTACAGTCTACTCTGCATTATTAGATATGTTCCTGACACTTCCCCTGCTGTCTCTAAACCGGTCAACTCCCAGAAGTGATTAACATTTAACCTCTCACTCAAATATCCATACAGGTACATTATATTCCAGCGAACACTCAGTTAATGAGAACACTCAAACTTATCAGGTAGAAGTTGTTGTCTTAATCTAACCCTAAATTCTTGTAACTTATTTGCAAGGAAATTTGCAGCAGCCAGAGAGGAGAATAAACAATCAGATCTTGGGAGTAAAAGTGTTCAAAACATCTACTCCTGTTGTTTAACCAAGTAACTGTAGGGAAGGCCGTGTCAATAAGGAAGTAACTCTACTCTCTTCCTCAATCCCAGCCTTTAAATAGGGGTGGGACATCCAGGTGCCTACTAAGGGATCCTGCTAAGCTTTTCACAGGAGTTTGGGAGAATACTGTGTGGCATAGAAATTTTGTGGATGTTTCACTTTGTCGATTGCTTTTGATGCACAAATTAAAAACTAATTGCCTTTTTTTAGCAGAAAAAGATCCTGACATATGAAAATCTACAAAAGAAATTTCTACCTTCAGTCTGTCATAAATCTCATTTTTGTCAGAAATGTGTCAATTTTCGTTTTTAAAATATCCACATAGTTATGAATGATCAACTGTGTATCATTCAACAACTCCTGAATTATATGCTAAACTGTTGCCTTTATCTTCTTGTTGGACTTGTCAATGTTATGCTTCTTAAAGAGAAAATTGTAAAAATTAATTCCCAGCCAAATCTCAGTCAATTAAAACTACAAAATAATATTTTTTACACAACAGAAAAAATGCTAATCTGCAAATTGTAACTCTCATGAAAATTGTTCATGCCATACAGTATTTAAGGTTCTTTAACTATTAAACGCATTTCTATTCCATACCAGAGGAGGAATCACATGCATTCTTAGCCTTAGCTTTGTTAGATACCCTTCAAAGGCTTCACTAAATCTCGACAGCTTCATCATAATGTTCCAAAAGTAAAAGAGCAAAGCGGCAATGGCTTGTATAGACACATTATAGCTGACACAATAGCTGAGCACAAACAGCATATACTGGTAACGCATACTCAGTTGACCTCATCAGCTGAAGAAAACAAGCAGTATGCAGTCAAACTGCTATGATCCACATCCCAAGCGACCACATCATGAGACAAACAATTACATTTTCTCTTTTAAAGTTTTATTTACCATCAACCACAACCTATTTTACATCCTCTTCATCTGAATCACTAGGTTCATGAAAATTTAGGAGAATATCTTTTATGCAGTCTTCAAAATTGCCATTGATTCGTTCATTGTAGTTTCTTTCACATCTTGTACCAGTTTATCTTGGAAACTGAAAAAGTTCAGACTTTTTGAAAACTAAAATGAAGTTTCGAATGCTTGAATTTCAAAATTTAATGCCCTTTTTGATATTTGCCTGTTGAAATTGCAAAAATAAAACCCTGCAAAATACTGTCTAGCCAAAATTGTGAAATTAAGTACGTGCGAAATTAAGTACAAATAAGGTAAAATATATAATTAACCCTACAACTCCCATGAGTGACAGAATTTCTCCTTATAATTAACAAAATTATTCACCGAAGGCGAGGTGAATTGTCGAATTATCCCTGAGACGAAGTTGAGGGAATTATTCGACGATATTGACTGAACCTGAGGCAAATGATTGTTTTAGTATAATTTCAGAGCTGAACAACAGAGAAATTTCTAAAATCATAACATTTTAGTAACATTTATTAACATTTTATTTTAACATTTTATATAAACCAATTGGAGCAGTTTACATAGCATCATATAAGGAACCGCTCGACCAATCAGATTGCTGGAAACTCTTTGCTAAGCTCTGAAATTATACTCATGTAAAATAATGTGATATCTGCAAGCACATATTGTGGTTCAATTTTTTTATTTTTGTTTCATTTTTTTTGAACCAGTTTAAATTTTTCAAACTAGTTTAAAATTTCCAAAGTAGGTTAAATTTTTTAAACTGGGTTGAGACTTTAAACAGTGACTTAACAGTCAAAAACAATTTTCCAATTTTCTAAAAATGTAAGGATGGGTGTCACAGTTATGAAAACCATATTGGAGCTGTACACTATCAAGCACGATGTATGGTTCACAAAAGCCTGCCTCCTTTGTTTTCTCCAAAATCATTACTTGAGGCACCAATGCCTTTTTGCTGCAAATCCTAATAACTCAAAACATTTCCCAGAGATGGGAAAAAGGGGATTGATGCTCCTACATTGCTGGCCAAGTTGTTTTGTAGGAATTAAAATGGTGGCATACTATTCAAACATTTAGCCCATTCAAAATAATTTTGGAAGGTTAATAGGAATCTCAAAACCAAGTGTTTGCTATAATTTGAACAAATAGACTCTAAGTTGTCTGGTTAATTAATCCCTTTTAGAAATTTCTAAGATCCAATTTGAAATATCCATTTTAAGCTACTATTTTATACATGTTGTGTAAATTGTTTAAAGGATTTTGTCATTTCAAGATAGCATGTCATCTGTTTGTTGCATTATGTATTGATATTGCAAAGGAATTTTTCAGATTAATCACCTTTCATATTTAAACGGAGGACTTGAAATACTGGGAGAGCTTATTATAGATGGATTGTTTATGACCGATATTATCTCAATATGTAGTATTGATTAATTTAAAAGTGATTTAGGATCAATCTACTCAATTGACAACATGCCATTGAAAAAAGATCTACTACTAGTGATGCAATGAATTGCAGAGTGCCTCCCATTATATAATTTTTTTCATTTTAAAATTTCTCCATTGAGATAAGCTTCAAGTATTCTGATATTATGATGTAACAGTTGCAGTAAACACTTTTAGCCCTTGAACTCCCAGAAGTGATGAACATGTAACTTCTCCCTGTAGTATCCATACGTGATCCAGCAGACAGGTAATGAGAATAATCAAATTTTTCAGAAAAAGGGGTGAAGAAAATAAATTTTTATGGAAATTTCTAGATTCAATATCATTAATTGTGTTTAAAATTACTAGTTTAATTTATGACAAACTTAAGAGCAATACCTATTTTAAAGTCCATTGTGTACAAGTATGTTTACTTAGTTTAAGCATGACATCTGCAACACTGGCTTAAATCAAAAATACAAACTGATTTTGCTCATATTTCCATCAATGCATTGTAAATGCACATGAAAAAAAAAAAAAAAAAAAAAAAATGTACTTCACATATAACAGCTGAGTCGAAAAAAGTGGACTGGCTGCCACAAAGTTTTGAAATTCTGAGTGTTAGCCCACCGTGAGAGTGAAAGCATCAGCTGTAGAAACTTGTTATTTTGGCAAATTTACATCTATCAAATAATAATAATAATAATAAAGGTCTTTATTAAGAATTATTGTGCAAACAGACGTGCTACAATTAACATGAATAACATGAATAAAATGAATAAGGAAAAAGAAAAGGTATTAATTACTATTGAAAAGACATCTATTAATAAAAACTGATTTAAAACGGCTTATCTGGACCTTAGGCAAAATATAATTATGCGACCTAGTTCTCAACTGCCGTGTTCTCTGGGGAGGTAAGAGATCGCTCAACGCAGTGTTGGTGGAAGAGATCCTTTGCCATAATTTCTTATCTCTATTACAACGGATATCCAAGATACTGTGTTGCTTTAAGCAGTAACTTGATAAATAATAAGTTGATAAAACCTTAATTATCTTCTAATACCCTTACCCATGTAGCACTGCAGATTCTTAAGAAACTTACCCCCTTTATCCAGTCTACTTTAGTGTACCTACAGCTAAAGAAAGACCCCTAGCTTGATTTCTCTCACAGATATGATATGCAAGCTCTTAACCGCATGCGTGATATACTGGTGGTGTATTTATAAGGTCAAATATAACAAATGTGTGTACATTTTCAAGTGGGTTAGATGGAATTTCCTACTTCTTCTAACGCACTATCTGAGTGTTGTGATATTGTTTCCAATATTATAAGACTTGAAATTATTTTTTTACATTGGTTCAGTAGAAAATGCAGTGGTATGGTTATGGAAACAGCAGATTATAATAACTATTTCAAAATTTAATTCTGTCATTAATTTGATATGCTAATCCCAGTATTCAATCTATAAAACATACGTGAGGAAAGATTGTGTTTTTTTCAGTTGCTATCTCCATCCTTTGTGTGATGACAAATTATGCTTACAGTCATTAAGAAGTCAGTCGGGTGTTTGAGAGCCTTCTATTGGTAATATTATAATTTCAGCTTCCCCCTAACCCCTTACACCATAACATCAGCATGCAAATTCTCTATACTGTTTTCTAGACATTTTGTCAGGTGCTCACAAGGAGAATTGGTCTAGCAATGAAGAGCTTTAGTCTTTAGTTAGTGATCATTAATGTTGGATTCAGGTGTGATATTGTAATAAGAAATTAGAATCTAGTCACTGTTAGGGGTCAAAGTGTTAACTTTACTAATAGACATGGTCAGTCACCAAGTGTGAAATGTTTATTATCAAAGTTGTTATTAAAAGGTGAAAAGACAAGCCCCATCTCCTAACTGTGAATAGCTTTATCCGGTCTCGCCCCAAATAAGCTTTAGTTGGTTTGTGAAAGGTTGATACTTAATGAGGACCTGAAGGTTCAGTATTTTTAACTGTATGACTAGGAAATCAGTTGGATATAAGGCTGTAATATTTTAATTTCATCATTATCATTTTTATAATTATTAGCAGAAATGAAAAAAAAAGCTGAAAATTACAGTCATATGTACAATAAATGCCATCATAATTAACAGTTACATTAGAATAAGAGATAATTATTTTTTTATGATAAACAGAGAAAACTGCAGAGGTCAGACATAATTTTTGTGGCGCAGTTGTTGATACGATCATCAAAACAATAACTAACATGCTCCTTAAAAAAAAAAATTTGGAAAATCCAAACACAATGTTTTGTATTTTTTTTTCTTCTGTGAATTTCTAAAGCTAATTAAAAAAAAAAAATTTTGAAAATCCAAATACAATGTTTTGTATTTTTTTTCTTATGTGAATTTCTTAAGCTAATTAAATCATGAGAAATACAATTATAATAATATTATTATGTAATTGAATTTGTTTTGTAATGGAATTTTGTTTTCCTGTGATTTTTCTTTCAGAATTAGATAAGGGACTTTGATGAATTTTGAGTATTGAAACTTAATGTTATACACATCTGAAATGTCTGAGGGAAAAGTTTCATGAATTTCACTTTTTTTATTTATTTATTTTTTTACATCAATTGAAATTTATAGCTTTTATAGCAACAATTAGTAAATTGATACATGTATTTGCCTTTAAACGTATCAAAATCTTTCCAGTGGGTGGGGAGGAAGTTGCATCGTGAATCACAATCGAAAAAACTGTTTCCTCTAAAAAAATGTCATTAAATACATAAGGTAACAGGAAATGATCAATGGCTTTGGTAACAACATGAAACAAGGAAATATTTTCCACCAAAGAACAACGCCGTTGATTTGCCAGTTCCGGTTTTTTGAAGAGTTAGTTATTGATGGCACGTTTTCCTTTGCCCTTAGTTTTCCTATTTTATTACAAATACTTCTTAACTATTCATTTGTAAAGTTAATACTTCGTGAACCGCATGTGTCAAGCGTGTAACTGTCAGTTCGATCTATGACGTTTGCGTAGTCACGTGTCCTGCCAAACTTTAAACCTTATTTGTTATGTGTGGCGATGTCAATTCAACTTCATCTACGATGCCCGTAACTGAAGTACAGGTATTTTTGATTTGTTTTCCCTAATCGCTGCTAAAATTTTACATCGATGTAGTGTTTTATTTTTCAAAGGTTTGACGAATATTTTTTTGCTTAAACCGACGCGTCAACAGGCAATTTGGACGTGTTCAATACAATTCATTTTGTAGCATACCATGACAGAATTACTGCCTAACTGACTTTAAATTATTGATTTTTATTTTCAGTGGATCGGGGCCAGTTGTGGACGGCACAGCACTTATACCTTCTACAGAGGTTTCAGATTAATTGTCGATGGTGTGGCGAAAAATTTCTGTCTCGGAGAGTTTTATTTTGTGAGGAATTCCACAGACCAACCGATATGCATAGCTGAACTACAATTAGTTTGGTACGACGCGAGTACTGACAGCCAGCTTGCTTCCGCGAGGCTTTATTTTAGACCCGAAGATACTCCCGCAGGACGCCTTGCAAACCACGGACAGGTCAGTTATTTATAAATTTACTTACCAGGGATTTTATTTCATTTTATTGCTTTGATTTGCTGTTTTGAAGTCCGTAAAATGGCCAAGGTTAACAAATCTGAAAACACTAAAAATGTTTGTTGAAGTTATAATGCTTCATTGATTTTGTGAAGACGTTGTTAGAAATTTTGCGCTAGATCTTCGATTTCAAATTATCTTTTTTTTTACCATAGAATTCGGAAAAAATCTAATTATCTTTCATCTTCCCTCACATTAAAACTTAAAACATGAGCCCAGGAGAAAGAATTTAGAAATTATGGCGTATTAAAACGGAATATTTAAGCCCAGTGGAACATGCTTTTGTATCTGTCTACCACTTGTATGTCCTATATTTAGATGAATATTTATTAGAACTAAGAAAAAATAATGTGCCTAAAATATTTTGTTTTTTTAGTAGTGATCCTAAGTTCTTCCACTCGTAAGTGTAACACTTCTTGGCAAACTGACCGAGAAACTGTGATTTTTGGTCTTTTGTTTCTATAGCGCGCCGCGAGGAAGTGAAAGAATTCCCATGTGCTGAACTTCATTAAATTTCATTTCTTAATTTTAATAACGTCTGAACTGAATTTATAGCCTCTTAATTGCCTCGATAAACTGTTTAGAAACTCAATAGTCAAGAGATTCAAACTGGCAGTTTATCGGTGAGTTCGGGACTCATCGTAGTATTTTATCAGCAACAGCTCGGTTCCATGTAATGAGGTTTTTACAACACCACGCAATTTATATTCATGAGGTCATATCAGTAAACAACGTTTTATTCATAGCGCGTTCCGTGCAGTGTTTACAATCATTTCCAATTTTTAACTCGTTTAGGGTGCAAATTTAATTTCAAATTTGCGATCATTCGATTGAGAAATGAAGAGTTTATTTGAGTTCGATTATTTAACCTATAAAAACAGCTAGCGGTGTTTGGTGATAACAAAAGAAATTGATTTGCATTTTTAGCACCGCAAGTAAAATTCACTCGCGATGTTTCCGGTCGAGAGATTGTATTTCAGTTTGCGAAGTAATTTTTATTTTGGGCAATAATTTTGTTTTCACTATATCGATTTTACGAATAAAACGCATTCATAACAATACCTGTTTTTCGGCGCAATTTGAAGCAGAAATTGACATTGTATGTGATGAAAAATTACACCTCTGTGCCTTCGACAGATGTGTATTAAGTCCAAACAATAGGAAATATTTGAATAAAAATAATAACCTGCTTCCAGCTTTAGAAATCGAAGTAAGTGATTTTTTTTTCTCCCCTACCCGTAAATTCGTTTGAGATCCATTTTTTTACGAAAAATATACGCTTTGTTTTTGGACGTGATTCGGCGGATTTGTACTATTTCAAGAGCCATTTTGAACAGAAATCGATGCGTGTAAACAAATTACCACATGGTCTTGATATTAATTGGAATTAGGATCCAAGGATTGTTTCTCATAAAATATTGTCTGATGGTGCTCGCTTTGACGCTGAAATTGTTAAATGATAGATGTAGTGATGAAAATACGTACGAACAGATTTTAAGTTCTGTTTAAAGTAAGGCTCGCATTCTGTTGTAAATTTCACTGGTTACTTAATACGTGTTGTATTACATTATCTTTTTATGTAGGATTAAATGGAAGATCAAGTCAGTTTTTAGTATTGTTTTTATTTTGCATCCACTTAAGGCATCCAAGCGCATATTTTAAGCAGGATATTTCGATTGATAGCGAAATTTTGTTCCAGTAATGTGCTTCACAGAGTATTCTGTTTTGATAATTAATCGCTCCGTGATTTGGCTTGTCAGTTTCATTGTTGAAATATCTCGAATCTATCGGTGAAATTCAGTAATGTGATTCTTGTACAGTAGTGATAGAATGAATCTTTTCTTATATTTCATGTTACTAATGCCAATTAAATAACTAAATCGTCAAGTTTGATTTTTTTTTTAATTGTTTTCTTTGGAAAAGGTTCAACACTCTTTCGAGCTCTGTTGTATGTTATTTGTACTATGCAAATAAATTTCTCTCGCTTTGGTTGATGGAAGTTTGAGGTTCCAAATTTAGTGATTAAACAAGTTTCTGTGTCACAATAAACTCTTCATGTATAAAATCAAGTGTTTCAATGTTATTAAATTTCTTCTATTATTGAAGAAATGATAATAATCAAATCTCTTGTGAGAACTGAATGGATTATGAAACATAATCAAGAGTGCTTCTACTACTTCTTGCCAAACCCAATTATAGAGCTGTTTCAATTTGATTGTTTTTATTCTAGAACTTGTTCAATAAATGTACCAAATTTCAACCTTCAGATTAAGAGAACACCACTTGGAAAATGACATAATTTGTTATCTGTTTTGTTTTTGTTTGGCTGTTATTTTGATACAATAAAACAAAAATTCTTTTAATTTCAGTGACAGTGCTACATTATTTTGCTGTTTAATTTATTTTGGTCTTAAAACGTTGTTCTGTAAAAGAACATTTACAACTAAATGTTGGCTGATTATTTCAAGTACCCAGCAATGTATTGCAAGAGACCACTTTTATGCACTTCAGTACAGCATTTTCAAGGCCAAGTTTGACATAAAGCACATGTTTATATCAAAATTGCTTGAATCGATTATTATTCTGTTTTTTTTTTTTTTTTTTATGTTTATTGAATTAAAATTTTCATCTTGCCAAGGTTAATCTCTCTTTTCCCGTGTTTTCTGCAATGAATTTTTTTATTATGAAGCAGGTAACTCTTAGATCACATTTATTTTTATCTAGCAGCATGTGAAATGGGCAAACTCAATGACAGAACATTGTTCCTAATCAAGATCTCTATTGTTAATGCACATGTGTAGAGTGGGGTTGGATAAACTCTTAGATTTTTCATATGAAAAGAACTAAAATCAATTGAAGTGTTTTTACATACGAGTCTTACAAGAAAGGAGAGAACAATTTGCCCTTTACCTTGACACTAAGCACAGTCTTGGGTGTAAGATGCTTTTTTATTTTATTGTTTATGGTTACAAGAGAATGTTTGCAGTCTTGTAGCATTTGAATCAATGCTCAGGAAAAAAGAACATGGGAGTCACACTACTTTTCCCTAACTTTTTTGTTTTCAAGGGAATAATAAGTACAAAATTGAGATAAATGATTTGGAAGTTGTTGTTGATGTAGTTGTTAATGAGATCTTGGAACACTTTGATCATCTTGCCAAGTTAACAATGAAATTTGGAATATTTGAGATATTCAACTTTTCGAAATTGTACAAATAGATCTTTGCATCAGGTTCTGTATCACTTCAGGATACTGAGTCACATGTTATTTTTAAAGGTTTTAACTTTTTGGATTTTGTAAAATTTTCCTAGATCCACAGAAATATAACCCAGCTAAGCAAAAAACATTTTCACACTCCTAAATTCATGTCTTTAAAACATGCAGTAAGCAAATCAATCATTAAATTGTCTCCTGACTCACTTGAAGTATCAGTGAATGTACAAATCATCCACTGCTTTAAGCTCCCCTGTGGATAACTCAAGTCAGTAGAAAATTTAACAATATTAAGTTTTTCTCCTTGTTGGTGTGCGGCTCCTTCAACGGAAATTTTCATAAATTGTTTCCTAGCAGATACTGTATTTCAGTCATCTTTATTGGAAAAAATTTGTTCCTTGAAATGCAAAAAAGGTGCACACCACATTAAAACTCTTTCAAATTTTTCATACTAGAAATCAAGAATGTAAGCAATATTAGTGTATGCAATCAACAAACTTTTCACAGGCAAAAATCACTGAAATTGCTTGTTATTATTGTTTTTTACATATTAGTAACTATGGGGTCCAATAATATGTGCTATATTTGGCAATTCATTTACTGTATGTTTCAAATTTCAAGTTGCACATTCAAGGAATGTTTGGGTTTTTTGAAATCAGACATGAGACCAGACGGGCCAGTAGAGTTTGACATTCAGTGTTCTATGCCTGAACTTTTCAAGACCTGAATTATGCATCATCTTAATTAATTGACCACCAACTGTACTTATTTCTCCAAAAGAATGCTGCATGCATGAGCTTTTCTGTTGAAATATAACTTTTTGGTTAAATTTTCACCAACAAAAGACACATCTAGACCTTTCTTGGCAAGCCTTGGCATAACTCCAGAATAATATGATAATCTTAATTGCCAAGGGATATATCATCATTTTCATGTTTTATTATTGTCCTTGTATTTCCCATTTTGTTTTGATCTTGTATCTAGTTGGTGATGATAAGTTTCAATTTTTTTTCTGTTCCTTTTAAGACTGTGTGTTTATGCAGCATAAAATTAAGATCTAATTTCAGAGCACTAGGCATGAAAGGCATTCTGTCTAGACAGATATAGTATTTGTAAGATGACCTTGTAAAATTTGTGGACATATTTTGATATAGTAAGTGTAGATAGAAAAGTGGGAGCAGTTTTAAGTGGAATACCATGTAACCTGGCTTGTGACAACCTTACCTGTATCATTTTTGGCAATACTCACCTTCGTTGCTGCCTTAACTAAAGATGTATCACATTGTTAGTTGCACAAATGTATATTTAAATTCAAAGCATTCTTTGCCTAAAGTTATCTCAAAAGTCAAGCTTTTAGCTGCATTTATGGTTTGGTTTGATGGATGAAATGATACCAGACCAGAATTTTAAATTCATCATGTGTAAAACATACACACAAAGCAATGAAATTTTTATTGATAAAATCAATTTATACATTTTTTTCCAGTGCATCTTAACTGACTGTATGTAATTGTTTGTATTAATTAGGATGAGTTACTATATGCTGACCAGAAGGTTGTTATTAAATGTCATGACATGGCTGTATGGCAGAACTCAGGACTACAATGGAACTGTGGCATGTTACCTGTATGTGAAAGTGATTTTGTACGCGTCAACGACAAATACTATCTGAACAGTGACTATGCTGGTAAAGAGAAAGAAACTTTAAAAATTGCCAAGGAGGCATGGGTGGAAAGAGATCATCCTCGCACCCTCCACATACTGACATTTCCAGCTTATTGTCGCTACAGAGCTCTTAAAGAGAGGCTCATATCGGGCATGTTTTTGACAAGAGCCCAGTTGATGGCATTGGGTGGAATTATTGCAGAACACAAAAGTATAAGGGTGCTTTTCTGTAGAGATAGTTTTCATCATCCCAGCTTGGACAAGTTTGAATTGTCTGGTGATAACAAAGGTATGAATAACGTTGCACATTCAGGGTTTTCATTACGAATTGTAGAAGCAGGCAATTATTGTGAACTGATACATAACAGCACCATGTCTGAACAACAGCAAAGCTCAGGTCATCAAAATTTAATCAGAGAAATCGTAGCAGGATCTGTAAAATGCTCCAATCTCTTTTGCTTAATCCTTTGCACAGGACTTTTCAATAATCCTGACTTTTTCTCTGGTCCCGTTTTTTTTGCCATGAATATTAATGAGCTTTGATCTTCAAAACTTTAGGAGGTAAAAATTCAGAGATTATGATTTAAGTCAGGAAAAGTGTGTTGAAAACAGTGCATTACCTATTACGCTTTCAAAAGATCAAGCACTCGGAGACAAAAATGATGTACATGTATTTGTAGTCTTTGGAGCAGACTTTTAGAATTAAAAATGTTATCTTTATTTCTTTCTTTGTCTCATTGTTATACATATTTTCGATTATCTGGACTCTCGATTATCTGGACTATCTACCCAAGTCCCAACAAGTCTGGATAATTGAGGTTCGACTGTACTTTTCTCTGAAGCTCTTGTTGCAGCAAAAGTTCACTCTTGTTAGTTATTTTCCTAAAGCTTAGGGTTAGAGTAGAGTATAAGATTAAGTATATTAAAGCTATGTAACTAATTAAATTTTATGTTCCAACTAGTTCAGTGCATATGTGAGTATTTTTGAACATTATTCATTTATATCTTGTTTTTCTTTCTGTTTACCAGCACCAGTTCTGAAAGGTAGGCCAAGAAAGAAAAAGAAGCTTGCTGCAGAAAACAATGTGCTCAAGAAGAAACGATTTGTGGCAGACATTCAAAATCACCTTGAAAATTCACCAGCAGCTAAAAGATGCAAAGTATCAGAGGGAGAAGAAAGTACAAGTTCTGATATGTCAGAGGGTGTACAAGACAAAAGAAGAGCACCTCCTGCAGTGGGAAGGAAAACTAAGACTAATGGACCACCACCGTTAATAAAGCCAGGAATACAAGTCAGTGACACAGAGAAGGCAAAAACAGCTGAGATTCTCAAAATTGCTGCTCAAGATATGCCATTGGCAAAAGTAGAACATACAAAGATTCCACCACCTCTTCTTCCTTCAAGCAAGATAAAGGCAGATATGGTGTGTCTCTCACAACCTCTGCAGTCAAGCCCAAAGGAAATCAGTGCAAATATTTCAGAGTGTTCAAGGACCACACCTATTCAAAAGCAAGTTTTCTCTTCGAGCACAAAGCTAAGGGATGTTGAAAACAGTCTGAACATTAAAAAGACTGTTTCACTAATGAAACCACACTTGACCAATAGAGTAAGGACAAATGTTGCAGTTATACCTGCCTCAAGTCCGAGCTCTACATCTGAGAGTAGAACAAGCAGATTACCAAATTCCTTTACAGAAATGAAGAAAACTTCAAATGGGACAGCTGTCACATACACCCATAAAGGTGACAACCTGAGGACACACCCAGCTGTCCAGGCTGATGTACATTCAGCTACTGTCTTGAGCACCCGACCAGTAACTACAACACAAGGCACCATCAGTACACAGCCAGCAGCATCCACTTGTACTGTAATGCGTAGTCAACCTGTGGCATGTTTGCCACAGCCCATAAGCAGTGTGCAGTCAGTTCCAGCAAAATCTTTGCAAAATGCCACACCAATTCCAGGACCCATTTCATCTTCAGTGAACATTGTTGATGTTACAAAGTCAAGATTCAGTAAGGAAAATGGAGAAAAGATTTTCAGAACGCCTTCTGTTTCAGATGAAAAGAAAGAGAATGAGATGGAGGAATCTGTTATGCGCAAAAAGAAGAAGAAAAGACTTAGGGAACCTGGAAATTTCAAGGATGAGGTACTGCAAGTACTGGTGTTGTAGCTAAATCTCTTCGAGATTGTAGTCAATTTATGGTGTGTCACAGACGAAAAGAGTAACTGTTGCTTTTGAAGAGAATAAAACTTTGAAATGAATATGTGCTATGATAGGGATATTGATAGGTTAGGGCGGGATAATGATGACAATCATCATAATGATGATATTAATGACAGTGAAGACAAATCCTATGAATTTCATGCTAAAAATGCATGCTTCTGTTGTAATTAAACAGGTGTATGATGATGATGATGAGAAGTTCTTCATGCAAACCCTACGTGACTTCATGAGGAAGAATAACCAGCCACTTGGCAAACTGCCTGCTTTGGGCTTTAAGAAAGGTATGACTCTTGAGGTTGTAATACTTAGTGTTAATGCAAGGGTTTCATTAATGGCCAGGCTCTGGAAAAATTGACCAGTTGTGAGACCAGTTTTGTCCACCTGGTTTGACAATCTGGAGGAAAGTTTAACTTATAAAGAAGTTCAGTTCAAAAAATTTTGCCTGCCTCTAAAAATCAGTTGGCCTCCTTCTGAAAATACTAATGAAACCCCTGTAATGAAGTACACACACTTTAGGCAACACTTGTTGTTACCTTTCACATGCTGACTGATGGTGTAGGTCATATATGGGTTGGAGCTAACATCAAATTTACATGTACTTACATTACATACATACAGGCATACATGCATACATAGGTACACTGTGCATACATAGGGACACTGTGCATACATGGGTACACTGTGCACACATGGGTACACTGTGCACACATGGGTACACTGTGCATACATACATGTAATTATTATTTGCAATACAAATTTTAAGTTTCTGTACGCCCATGGGTACCTTGCACGTCAGCTTTTCCTGATGTGGAATTCTGAGGTTTGGAAATGAATTTTGCAAAAAAAGTTTGTATGAAAGTGGAAATTGTAAAATGATTAGTGAGAAAAATTGTCTTATTTTTTCAGTTTTTCAGTTATTTTAGTTACCAGTTTATGGTTGTCTTATTATTGCAGTTAATCTGTGGACAATGTACAATACAGTTCAGAAATTTGGAGGCTACGATGCAGTGAGTATCAAATTATTTCAATGGTCTTGTCTTTGAACTCAGTGGTTCGTTGCTGTACACAAAGTACTGTAAGTGTCACAATTCCCTTAATGAAAGCAAAGGTTAGGTAATCACTTTGAAAAGAATTTAAAAGTGTTTTGGCAACTTTCTACTTCAACATTAGTTGATTTAGAAATTTGTGAAAAATGTTTACAGTAAAGTAGGTAAAATTCTCGCAGAATGTGCAAGGTATATGTATTAAACACAGATCCTGTTACCAGGTTATTGTGCAGGTGTCTTAGGCATTATTTTTCAGTCAGGATGGGAAGAAAAAAGCATATAGATTCCTTCTCCCATTGAAAAAGTAACTTATTTTGACGTTTGATATTGTAAATTAGTCTGAGAAACTACTTTTATTTGCATATGAATCTAATTATGGTTGTACATTTGCTTTGAAAGAAACCTCCATGACTGTTCTTCCTGTAGGTGACGGGGAAGCGTCTGTGGCGACGTGTTTATGACTCACTTGGTGCAAGTACAACTATAACAAGTGCTGCCACCTACACCAAGAGACATTATGAAAGGTAAGTCTGCAAACATGATTGTACCTTTTACAAAATTCTTAGTTATTATATCTTTGCCATGTGTCAATTTTTCGTGTATCAGGTGGGTATGCTAGCATAAGCTGTCCCTTTTTTTACATGATACCTTTAACAAAATCATTTGGCTAGTTGTCCTTGTATGTTCTAATTTGGATATATCAACAAAGTTGAAATGGTGAATTGGCCACCGTAATGATTACAAAAGCTGACGTTTTGAGCGTTAACCCTTCATTGGAGCGAATAGAGGAATTGTGGGTTGTGCGTGCTTTTAAAGGTGGAAAATGGAGCTACGTTATTGGTGGGAACATGGCAACGAGAAAAACAAGAATAAATTAGTGGAATGAAAAGCGTTCGTTGATCCCTGTGGGATTTAGACTGCTGGTTTGAAAGATGAGCTTTTGTTCAAGATTTTTACGGCTTTCCGTGCTACCTAAGTGTAAGGAAAGACCGCAGATTGCCATATGTTGCTTAGAATGATTAGGTAATTTAAAATGCCTAGCAACTGGTTTCGATGTGTCCTTGTCATTAGATTACATTGGCGGAGGTGCATGTGAAGTGATCGGTGATCTTAATGGATTGTTTAGGTCCTGATATTTTCTCAGTGTTGTGAATGAAAGGACACGTTTTGCATCGTGCACGAGCGCATTTAAAAGTGCCTGGTTGGTCATTAGTCTGAAAAGAACTTCTGACCAAAAAATTGCCTATGTTTTTTGTCCACCAATGTAATCTATTGCATAACTTGCACTTCTTGCAAAAAGATATACATTGGCGAAACAGGCAGAAGACTAGGTGACCGATTCCGAGAACACCTTCGAGACGTGGAAAGGAATGACAAGGACACATTGAAACCAGTTGCTAGGCATTTTAATTTACCTAATCATTCTAAGCAACATATGGCAATCTGCGGTCTTTCCTTACACTTAAGTAGCACGGAAAGCCTTAAAAATCTTGAACAAAAGCTCATCTTTCAAACCGGCAGTCTAAATCCCACAGGGATCAACGAATGCTTTTCATTCCACTAATTTATTCTTGTTTTTCTCGTTGCCATGTTCCCACCAATAACGTAGCTCCATTTTCCACCTTTAAAAGCACACACAACCCACAATTCCTCTATTCGCTCCGACGAAGGGCTAACACTTGAAACGTCAGCTTTTGTAATCGTTACGGTGGCCAATTTACCATATCAACTTTGTTGATATATCCAAATTATTTTGTTACCCCCACCGACGCAGCCCCAAACAGTTTCTTTCGAAACTATCAGCCTTTATTCACTTGTATGTTCTAATTACCACTACAATTGAATGTCATCCAAGTACATTTGCAAAGCTTTCTCTTTCTCTTTTCTTGTCCAAAATTTTGAAGAAATTATGTGATATCTCCTTCAATGTTTTGCCTTTTGTTTCAGGTTACTCTTGCCATATGAGAGGCATATTAGAAACGATCTCAAGAGACAGATGGATGAGAAAAATTCCCCTATTGGTGACAGTTGTGAACAGAAAGAGCTTCTGGACAAAACCAAGAAAAAACCAGGTTTAACAGTTTCTAATAACAAAGCAATTATGCAACCTAGTTTTCATACAGACCAGGCTATAGTAGGGAAGAAGCAGAATCAGGTCATTGGAAGGGATAGAAACACAAATGATAACATTGCACCAGTGTCATCACAGCAAGGAGCACCTTTAAGAGTGACCTCCACAGCTGATGTGAAGAGGAATATGATGCACGTAGCCCATTCTCAAGAAATGCAACCTGTTATGACAATGTCAGCTGTCACTTCAGCCTCCTATATGCAAGGAATTCCGCCAGTTTCTGTAAAATCCATCACAGAAGAGTCCAAACCTTGGAGGAACAAGTCAAATGCAAGCACAGAGCCACCGACCACTTCATCATCTGACCGAAGAGAGAGGATTCTGGCAGCAAAACAATTTTCACAAGAGGTCACTGTCACTCAAGACAGGAAACAGCATCGTAGAGAAGGAATTGGTAGCCATGAGGAAACAAGTGCAAGAACCAACCTTGTCTATGCTAAAACCACAGCTGCTGTTGATACCAATCTGAATCAGGCTATTCCATCACAGAGGGTCTCTAAAGTTGTGAATGATGATACCCAAGAGGTACCACCTCCACAGCAGTTAAATACTACTAACAAAGGAAGAGAGGTTATTGATTTAACATCAGAGGACAGTCCTCCAGGGGTAAAGTCTAGGAGTCAGACTGTGGCACAGACTCAGAGAGAAATACAAGAAATGTCCAAGGTGCAGAGACCAATAATTGGCGGTGGTGAAAATGCTAGGCAGAGACATTTTCAGCAATCACAGAGTAAACAAGAACAAAATGACAGTTCAAAGCACCACTCCACTAAAGAACAAAAACCCAAGGTAGAAGGATCCAAAGCTTATGGTGTGCAGCCATACAGTGGTCAACCATTCAATAACAACAAGGCTCCACCTCGTGTTCATGAGAGCTCTCCAGGGTTAACAACGAAAAAAGCTTTGGATGAAGGCCATCCACCTTTAAAGCAAGAAGGATCCCACCCCAAACTGGATAAAAAGAGGCATAAACAGGCACGGTTGGAAAACTTGGAAGGCCGTTACACACACTCCCCCTCATCAGAGAGTGTTGACGAGCATTTTGCAGAATGGTTACGAAGACAGTCCAGTGGGCAACAGCAACATCCTAAATCAAACACCAGACATCACTACACTCCAGAACAGTATAGGTATAGTTATGTTTCTGAGGACCTCTGTCCTCCAGACTGCTCTTGCTCATCATCAGCAAGCAGGAAAGATGAAATTAGACCCCCTCCACCAAAGCCAAAGAAGGAGCACTATGAAGAAGAGCTACCATTTTCTGGTATGACATTTTACCCAGGAAGATGGAGTCCTTCCTCCATGATGGCAGATCACCCTGATCTTTACATATCCTCTCCTTCTGCACATTTGCAAGGACCACCAGATACACTTTCAAATCACTTGTGTACAGCATCCAGGATCTTTATTCCCACACCTCCTATGTTTACTCCTCCCTACCACTTGGGTGTGGCACCCATGGGTCCTGCCTTGATATCTGGGGGAGAGGATCAACTACACATTCACCCACATTGTTTGCTGGGATCTACTTATCCTGGTACATCAAACTCAAGGACACCAGAAGGAACCAATTACCCATTATACTCTTTTACCTGAGTGACCATTTTTGGTAATGAGTACTTGAGAAAAACTGTAACAGAAGCCCATGTAGTGGATAGGAGAAAACATTCTTAATTTACTAGAAGAATATTGACCATAATTTACACAAATCACTCCTGTACTTGGAAGTCCTCAAAAGTAGCCACTCTTTTAAAATTTCTTTCTTAAGATGTTAGGATTCAGAAGTTTCACAGAACCACGATAGTGAATTATTCATGCTTTTGTTAATACACATCCAAGACACTCATTTAAAGGGTGGTTATTTTGCGAGGAGCATGTGGGGGGCTTTTCAAGTGTAGATGCTAAGTTTTCACAGATATAAATATATAGTTAACAAGGTTGTCTTTCCACTGAAATGCAAATTTAAGTGCTGTCAACATAGTGTGAAAGTACACATCTTAAATACTCTTTTTAGAATAAATCAGCTGGTCTGATTCACCTGTTAACTCAGGTAGTACTCACAATCACTAGCAGCTCTGAAGACTTCCTGTTTGAATAGTCTTGTCTTGTAGTAGGCTTGAACCGTGTTATGTTTAGTAAGCAGTCATTTTTGCTGGCGTTGTAAATATATTTATTTCGGCATTCTAAACTCATCACACATCTTCCAGAAATTACATCACCACGGTAGTTTGAAAAAGACGTAAATTATAGGTCACCCAGTAGAACTTCATTGTTGGACCTTGGAGTCATTTGTCATGAAACCCTTTCCCTATCAAGGGCTTGTGTTACGAGTTTTACATGGTCAATTTTTGATGACATTCTCCCACTTTCATTGTAAATTTTGTGAATACAAGGTTACCGTTTGTTGCAGTGTGATGTAAAGGTTTAAATTTTTAATTAATTCGAAAATGATTTGGATAGCAAGATATATTTGCTTATAAACTTGATAATTTATTGATAATTTTATTGATTTTTTTTACATTAAAACCTGATTAATTACTGAATTTTTATCGATATGTTATGATTCAATATGCCCTTGGTTCAAAGTTCATTTTCCTATCCTTCAATTTTGTCATCGCACACTATCATATGGTATTCAAAGGGAACTAAAATTTGAACCAAAAGCGAAATTAAACTACAACATATGCGAGCAACTCTATCCTAAGGAATGGTCCAGTTGATAACCACTTGTAATCTTACAAATGTGCTTCATTTTCATGATTGCCGCCCCTTAGAACCACCAAACGTTATGTTTTGGGTCAGTTTATATTATATACATTCTAGCAAAGTTGGGACCAATTTTCTTCTGTTCATCATCGTGATCCTTTGAGTTCACTTAATATATATTGTCATATTGCAGAGGTGTGAAATATTTTTAGGTGAACACGGCTTTGTAGTATTTTTCTAATTCAAAAGGCTATTTTTGTACATTATGTAAAGCTAAAGCATGTAATTTGTTTGTTTGTTTGTTTTGGCTGCCTGTATTGTATTTATTTTTGCAAAGGTCACGTCGACCTCAAATGAGACTTTAACTTTTATAAATAGTATTTTGCAAGAGGTTACTGTAAATAAACTCTCTTTGATATACTTGTGTTTTGACTCCATTAACATGTAGGCCAGCTTTGGAGCGCGTGTTTGTTGTCGATTCTTATGTTTCGTGTTTCAAAGAGAGAGGCCTTGTCAGGTTCCAAGGCGTGTACACACCACTGCAATGTCATTGAACAGCGGTTACTTGAGTAGCGTCCCTTGCAAACCGTAGGGCGAATGCAGTTTGTAGTCTTTGAAAAAATTGAAAGTGCTTATTTACACTTCATCACTTTTTAATATTTTACTTGAAAAAAGCAGCACAGAAAGTCAAGACATAAAATTTTAATAGTGTATGCACTCTTTTGTAATTTGTTTCACAACTTTGCACTTGTGTTACATAAAAACGCACCCGTTTTCAGCCAATCAGAAGCGCGTTATTTTTCCATGCGTATTTTAACTGGGTTAAAATATTAAAACATTCCTATTTTCACTGATAGAAAAACTGAAGGACAACAGTTTCCCATGTAGTCCCGGCTGCTTAAAGGTGTGAAAATTACTGACAGGAGCGGTACATGATGCAACCGAAAATTTATGGAAACAAGTTCTTTAAATTAGGGAAGGATTTGTAAGGATATTTCTATTTCGCAACGTATGACGATAGCGTCTTATTCCAATCCCATAATATCCCGTTCAGCGCTGGAATAAATGTGATGGATTTCGACTTGAAACCCTTGAGCGTAGTGCTTTGGATCTATACTATAACTCTTAAGACAACTGAACTCATACTGGTAATCAATAAGCAAGTACGCAAGTTAGTGACGTAATAATAATCATAATAATTAATATTGGGAGCACCAACGTACCGATCAAACAAAATAAAAAGGGAGCGCGAGTCACTAACCAAACAATCAAACACGAAACAGAGTGCCAGCCAATCATTTAAATCTCGAACTTGAAACAGAGTGCGCCAGTCACTAGCTTAGCAATCAAATGGTAAACAGAGTGTGCGAGCCACTACAGTTTTAATGAAACACAAAACAGGGTTGGCAAGTTACTGACGCAACAATCAAACACAAAACAGAGTGCGCAAGTCATTAGGAAACAATCAAACGCTATACAGTGTGCAAGTCATTAAGGCAACAGTCAAATGCTAAACAGAGTACGCGAGTCACCAGCGTAACAATCAAAAACGAAATAGAATGTACGAGTAACTAACGTAACAAATAAACACAAAACAGAGTGCGCAAATCATTAAGGTAACAATCAAATGTTAAACAGTGTTAGTCACTAACGTAACAATCGAACACAGAACAGAGTGCGCGAGTCACTAACATAACAAAAACTAAACAGAGTGCGCGAGTCATTAAAAGTACAATCAAACACTAACAGTGTGCGACCCACTCGCTTAGATCTCAAACACTACACAGAGTGCGCGAGTCACTAGCCAACAATCGAACACGAAACAGTGTAGGAGTTCCTAACAATGAAATACAAAACAGAATATGAAAGTCAATTAACCAAACACAAAAAAGAGAGCATGAGCCACTAACTTTAAAATTAAACACGAAGCAGAGTGCGTAAGTCGCTAGCCATACAACGAAACACGAAACAAAGTGCGCGAGTCACAAACGTAACAATCTAACACAGAACAGCGTGCGAGTCAGTGATGTAACAATCAAACACCAGAGTGCGCAAACAACTAACGTAACAATCAATCGCAAACACAGTGTGCGAGTCACTAATGTAACAATCAGACACAAAACAGAGTGCGCGAGTTGTTTAAGTAGCAATCAAACACAAAACAGAGCGCGCGGCGAGTCGTTACAGTAACAATCAAGTACAAAACAGAGTGCGCAAGTCGTTACAGTAACAATCAAGCACAAAACAGAGTGCGCAAGTCGTTACAGTAACAATCAAGTACAAAACAGAGTGCGTAAGTCGTTACAGTAACAATCAAGCACAAAACAGAGTGCGCAAGTCGTTACAGTAACAATCAAGTACAAAACAGAGTGCGTAAGTCGTTACAGTAACAATAAAGCACTAAACAGAGTGCGCAAGTCGTTACAGTAACAATCAAGTACAAAACAGAGTGCGGAGGTCGTTACAGTAACAGTCAAGCACAAAACAGAGTGCGCAAGTCGTTAAAGTAACAATCAAATGCTAAACAGAGTGCGCTAGTCACAAACGGAGTGTGCGAGTCACTTTGGTAGCAATCAAACACAGTACAGAGTGCGCGAGTCGCCAACGTAACAATCAAACGCTAAACAGAGTGCACGAGTCACTAAAGTTGTTACTTTGGTGACTCGCGTTAGGAACTCAAGCACAAAACAGAGCGCGCGAGTCATTATCATAATAATCAAAAGCCAAACAGAGTGTGCAATCCGCTAACCCTACAATGAAACACGAAACAGAGTGCTCGAGTCACTGACGTAATAACCGAACACAAAACAGTATGAAAACAAGTACATGAAAGCAAACTATAAACGGTACGGTCACGAGTCACTGACCCGACAATATACACAAAACAGAGTGCGCGAGTCACTAACGTAGCAATCAAACATAAAACAGACTGCGCGAGTTACTTATGTAACAATCAACACAAAACAGTGCGGACGGGTCACTTAAGTAACAAACACAAGGCAAGCCATAAACAGCAGGCAAGAGTCACTGACGCGACAATAATAGAGACAAAACAGAGTGCGTGAGTCAAACATAATCAAATATAGTGTGAGCGAGTTACTGACGTAACAAACACAAACCAGAGCGTGTGATTCACTTAAGCACCAATTAAACGCGAGAGGGTATGGATGTCACTGATAAACGTAATAATTAACAATTTTTCGCCGAAGGTCCCCGAGACGAAGTCGAGGGGATTATTCGACAATATTCACAGAACCTGAAGTGAATAATTGTTTTAGTATAATTTCAGAGCTGAACAACAGAGAAAATTCTAGAATCATAACATTTTAGTAACATTGATTAACATTTTATTTTAACATTTTATATAACCCGCGTGGAGCGGTTTATAGTGTCATGTAAGGAACCGCTCGACCAATCAGATTGCTGGAAACTCTTTGTTCAGCTCTGAAATTATACTAATATTAATTAGAAAACAAAGCCCGCGTATCACTTAAGAAACAATCAAACAAGACAGAATGCACAAAGCCACTAGCGAAACAAAATACAAAAGGGTGCGCTCGTAACCTCATACACTCACCAAAGAAAACGCACGAGGGTCTATCACAAAACAAAAGGAAATCTCACCAAAATAATAATGGAATAAAGAACACAGCACAAGCGTACCTGACGGAACAAAGAACAAAAAAAAAAAAAAAAAGAAAGGAAATACGCGAAAATCAAGAAAACAGAGTACACGAGAGCAACAGTTCACACGGTTCATTTACCAAATTGACGTGAGATTCAAACGGAGGGGCCAAGTAGCGGATTTCCTTACCACATATTCAGCGCGCAAACATAATCAGGCCTCAATTTTTTCAGGTCTGATTTTCACTATTGCTTAAATGGTGCTCTTTACTGCGAGGATCGTGCACAAATACGTTTCTGCAACCGCAGTTCAGATATATGAATTTCATATATTCGTTGTGTATGATTTTTTTTTTTGTTTGACCTGCGCGACAGAGTTCGCTAAAAGGGAGGGACTGCTTGCAGTTTAACAGTGGATCCGAGGGCCATTGCAGCAATCAAGGCGAAAACGGAGTGAACTCTTCACATAAATTTCTACGGCATTATTACCTATGCAGAAGTCACTGACAGGCTACACCTATTTATTTAATTTTTGCTTTTAAGTAATCAGTGGGGAAACATGTCCGTATTTTGAGCGCACTAGAAACAAACAGTTGACCAGGATTGCTTATTGGATAAAGGTGACAACTGCATCTTTCTCTCCATCTCAAAAGCAATTGGCCGGTAAGAAGTTCTGCAGTTGTGCATAAGCCAAAAAGAAAAACGAAACCTCAACAAAACACAACCTGAAGCACTTTAATCCAAACATCAAACCGGTTGTTTCAGTACCAATTGCAAGAGAACCTGAGAACTTATTAAATACAATGTTTCCCTTACAGGTTTTGGAGAGTTCTATGTCTGTTCACACCTTGCACATGTTAATATTACATTATTTGTTCATATCTACGATTACTCTATTTTTTTTCTTTTTTACAAATTATGTTACTGGACAAAACAATCAACGAGTTTCTTTACCAGAGCTTCCTGAACCTTTATCATTGCAATTTTTCAATAAAAAAGAAACCTTAGCTACGGCCTCCAACAAATCAATGTTCTTTGTTTCTAATATTGGTCCCACCTCACAGACTGTATATATAATACATCTGTAAAGGAGACCTTAGGGTGTTGCAAGATATCTGTTGGCGGTTTAAAACAGTTTTTCTTATTATGACAAACAAAATTGTTATTTTCAACTGAAGCATTATGTTCTAAGGATTTGTTGAGCTAGGAATTTGTCAAATGCTCTCATTTAAGATGAGATACATGGTAAGTGACAAGGTGTAAGATAATTATCTCATAGCAACAAATCTAGGGTGAGGTAATACCAGTAAATTCCTAATAATAATAATAATTTATAGAAATATTGGGTGAAGCTGTCTTAGAGTGAGTTTTTTTCTACATGTTGGGCATTTACTCTGCATCTGAACTGCACTTCTAATACATTTGTCACAAAAAACATGTCCACAAGTTGTTGACATTAACCTTCTTTTCCTCCTTTTAATCTGAAAAATTCAAAACAATTTGACCATCACTAAACATAACAGAAAAAAAAAGAAAGAAACCACAATAATCTAAACCAAAATAAAAGCATATAGTTTTAGTAGAAAATTCAGTCTTGAAACAGTTTCTCATGGGCCTAAGAAGTCAATAATATTGTTCCGTAAAAAAATTCATTTTACTATTAATAAGAAAATAAGTTACTAATCAAACAGGTCAAAAGTTCTTGTACTCACTGTTTCTTCATCATCCAAACAAATAGGACAACATATTTTCTTGGAAGGTGTTTTTCCTGCTGAATCTTCACTACTTGACGTCGAAGGTTCTGTCACACTTGTGTTTACTTCATTTGCATCATTGCTTTCAGCTACTTCTAGTATATCGTCATCTGTATCAGATAAAGTTCTGCCCAGCACACCAGAATGTGAGAAACGACAAGATGGCAGTTGCATTACTGGATCTCCACGGTATATTCTATTTACACACTGAAGGGAAATTGATTTGAATAATATATCAAGAGATTTGAAAGTCTGCTTGTCATTTACAATAACTCTGAAGATGTCTGGCTTTTCTTTAGGCACACAGTAAAGAACCAAGTGACAATCAAACACACTTTGCACACTTTTACAATAATCAATGATTGATCAAAATTACAGCTGTAACATACACCTGCAGGTAGTCTAAAAAAGTCGGTGGCCATGTTTTCACTAGTGAATAACATAAATCGAAAGCAAATCACAGCTTATTCTAAAATCAAAACATAACCCTCTAATATCACTTTAAAATAAAATACTTTGTTTTCACAAGTAAAATTCCTACCTAACTTAGATGTTTTTGTAACGATTCTATAAAGTATAAATAATAGTGAAAAAGTTTTTTTTTTTTGTCAATCTTAAGTCAAGTACCAGTAATTTACTTACCACAATAACAGGACTGGAATCAATAGAAGAATCTGTTGAACTGTCTCTAGTTAAATCTACCACATTATTATGATGGTAAGTTGAGTCATTTGTCAAATCAACCACTACTGAGCCACCTTTCAAAAAAATCAATCAGACAACAGTTTCAGTTAGCCAGGTATGATGCCTTAACTAGTTATGTCAGTTCTACATTGTGACAAAAAAGTGGGACACTTTGATAAATTTTCACAAGAGCTGTGACTGTAATATGATTTCTTTGAAATGACAGCACTCTATACCTCTTCTTATGGTTGGAAGTTTATCTAAGTCAATAACTTCTGGCCTTGCAACCCGCACATCACCAATAATTGTAACGTCATCTGGTGAAAGTGAATCTGTGGGTGATTCAACAGTGATTGGTTCCCTATCTGCTGCAGTTTCTTCAGAATGAGGCTCTTCACTAACTGGTTCATTGTTAGCATTGTTTTCTGCAAGACTCGTACTTTCTCCATTTTCATTGTCATTTCTGGTTCTCTTGTTTTCATGTGAAAGACTTTCCTCCTACCAAAAGAAAATGTAAAATACTTTTTAAGCCTTTAAACAACTATGGAATTTTCACTTAAAAGTGAGACTACAACAGGGGTGTAGCCATGATTTTTCAAAGGGGGGGTCACAGAGGCTACTCACCAGATTGTCATGTCGACCTCCACGCCGTGCATGTTTTACTTAATGTTACAGTTTTGGAATGAGCAGTGAGAGTATAGTGGGCAGGCCAAGATATTGTCATGGCATTTTCACCCCCTGAATATTGTAGGTTGTTTGCTCAAAAGAAGGCCTACCAAGGGGGGGGGGGGGGTCACAGGCACCCCAGGACCCCCCTGGCTACGCCCTTGTACAAACTAAGCCTTACTTGCTTGAACATGTAATGAATGAGGTCTTGAGATGATATTTTCTTATGCTTTCCATGGGATGTTGTTTCAACTTCCCATTTTAAACATTGGCAACAAACAAATTTAAGAGTCTACAATTGCTTGCATGGAGAGGCTAACTGTACCACAACTGCACTTAAAAACTGACATTTCCACCTCTCTAATGTGAAAAGTCATGCACATTTTTCAGGAGTGTATGCTTTAGCCCAGTTGGTTTTTCCCTTTCTCACACCTTCTGGTTAATTACTCAAACCATAAACTGGCTTGCCAGTGTTTTGCTGACTAATGTCTAGAGGAGAGCAACTTTGCCTTGATTGCTATGATACCTGCTTGCTGTTGAGGAGATATCTGCCCTTCTTATTTGCTACCTTTATGGCATCTCTTCAATTTTATTGTTGTGAAGGCCGTAAGTTAGATAACTCATTGGGTTAATTACGTCACCTTCGTTAAATAAAGAATATTGTATTGTATTGTATTAAAGGTTCGATTACTCCAATGAAGTGTGGCCTACATTTATAAAATTCATTTAAGCCATGAAAACCTTTTATCTGAGACCTGTCTAAACACCAATAGGAAAAAATTGCAAGTTAGACCTGCTCAGAGGTAAGTTTCAATGCTGTCAATTACAGATATCATGGCTTACCACCTTCAAATGGATAGGGAGTACTTAGCTACAGACAGAAAGACTGCGGTGTAAAAAATCAAAGGGCACCTGTGGCCAACTTGTGGATAAAGTATTACAGAGATATATACCTGTCAGTCACTAAAAAAAAGAAGTAGAACCATTGCTAGTATAGAAATTATAGCCCTTGAGTATGCAATGGAAACCCCTCTGGGGGGGTACATGGGTCATTTTTGCTGGGTATGTGCAGCTGGCTTCTCTGTTAACATCAAATTTTAAATCTGAGGGGGCCTGGTGAATTCAGAAAAAAATATCCTGCAAAAATAAGCTCAAAACAAAATTCTTGTGCGGAGTAAGTGGCCTTTCCCTCCAAAAATAGGGAAACAAAATTTGATCAAAGCAGCTGGTTTGAAAAAAGGTAGAATATATGTGTAGAAACAAAAACCTGGTAATGTGACGGTGTGTACACAAACTTGCATGTTTCATGCTTGAACAACTATGCAGAACACTGAATACTGTAAACAAAAATACCCTGTAGCAGGCTTCAAATTTCAAAACTTGATACTTGTGTACATTTCTTGGCTGCTTTACTGTCTGATATGTAATGTTCACTATAACACGACAGCCACTTTTACTTCAGTTAGAATATCAATAAGCAAAATATTTTCTATCAAATTTTAGTTCTTTGATGAAAAACCGCTGGCGAGTGCACTAAAAGTCCCAGCTGCCACTGGTAGCCGGCTGTTATTTTGAACCCTGGCTCATGCTTTTACGGTGCTCCTCATTATGTTTACACTTGGAAGTTTCAAAGAACCCTCAAATCCAGTCTTTAAGTTGATCATAACACTAACCGGAAACATTTGAAGTCCATTTCAATTTAATAAATGTCGAAATAGCCATATGAGCTAACGATTCGATAAACTTTGCTGATAATGTGATTACTTCCCAAAAGCCAAATTCAGCTTATGATATAAGTATCTTATTTTTCCTGAGCCTTTTTACTTAGTGACATGGTGGTGATATAGATATACTTGGGTCTCTGCAGACAGTGTCCGAGTTCGATTTCTGGTGAGTGTCTAAATTTGGTCTTTAAGTAGATCATATCACTAATCTGAAACATTGGAAGTCTATTTCAATTTAGTAAATGTTGAAACAGCCATGTAAAGAATAAACATTGCAATGATTGATGCAATCACAATGGCGCCAGGACTTTGGACTTCCTCAGAAGGATGGATCTTGAGTTCAGAGCCGTCTAATTACAAAGAGTCCAGCCAATTTGCATATCCCAAAGTGCCCACAATAACTCACTTCTACACTATTGCTTCTGGAAGGTTTATCTCTCCAAACAATAGTGTGCTCGAAGAGATTAAATATACCCATTCAAGACCTCCAAAATCAAAATTTGGTCACAAATAACTAAATAGACCATACATGTTCTCTCTTGAAAGTCTATCTACTGACTAGAGAAAACTTGGTTTAGTCCCATAATAAACACTTTACACCCTGGTGCATATCTCCATACTGTTCTCCATCTTCTCTATACATTTCCTAAGGTGCTGACAAGCAGAATTTGTTTGACAATCATGGCCTCTTTTGGTTAGTGATCATATTGGATAATGTCTATAGGGACCAGGATTTTAAATGAAACATTGGTTAGCTTAAGTTAAATTTTACATTTTAAAAAGAGGTACCACATATGAAATGAAAAAGCTTTTCCCCAAGTTATTTTAAGCCTTTTGTATTGATGTTGTTGCTAGTACTATTGCCAACACTGTCACTGCTCAAAGTGTCTTGCATAGCAACATAAATAACCCCTTTTAGTGTTTTAACCAAGTTTTAACACAACATTTCTCTATGGCTAGTAGACTTGCTCATTTACAAAACTAAACTGGAACTGAAACCTTGAGAAAAAAAAACTTGTGCTCCTCAAAGTAAATAATTAACAATTATTCCACGAGCGCGCGTTGGATATGAGATGATAGATAGCCAACGAGAAGCATAGCGCCTAGTTGGCTAAAATCATCTCATATCCAACAAGCACGAGTGGAATAATTGTTTTATTAAAAAAGTTAAATTAAATTATTAAATTTTATTAAATTTTATTAAATTTTTAGCTCCCTTTTTAATTTAAGCTGACATGTACACTTGCCATATTTGTAGATTATGGTATATTGGCTGATATACCATAATAGCTAAGCCAATAAAAAGTCTTGAATTGCATTATCCAATGATCTAGTTTTTAATAATCTAGTATATATACTTACAACATTTATCATCCTCTTTAATAGTAACACAAAGTTGTCATAGATTATTCCCTGGCCTTTATCATTACCTGAGAAGTTGTTTCTTCCTGTTGTTCTCCTTGGGCACCACTTGAAAGAGGAGAAACTTCATTCTCAGTCAGAGACAGTGAAGGAGATGTTTCATCCAAAGATGAACGTCCATTACCTCTCCTCTTCCTCTTACGCCCCTAAATATGATCATATGTAAGCTTAAATTTAGTTTTAAATTTAATCAGATGACCATAACAAATATTAAGTTGGAAACGTATGCTACACTTAAACAAGAATAAACGAGCAAACACGAGGAGTAAAGTTCTTTCTGTTGTAAAACGCTAAAAAAGTTTTAGTACTGTATTAATGATAAAAATAACCACATAGGTTTAAAGCTGAGACCTTCCATAGTTAACTACTCCGCTCAAACAAGAATATTGACAAGCTGTTTTAACTTCAGTAGCTTTAGTTGCGAGCCAGTAAAATGACCACCTATTTCGTAAAGCAATAAAACTGTGTTTCACAGAAGTTTTTCAAACGAAACGCTTTCACATCATCAAGAAACAAAATGTCAACGATTACGCTAAAAAACGCAAAATTAACAAATATTTCGCATATCCAGTGGAAGTACCAAGGAACTGGAACTAAACAAGAACAGAGCTGTACATACACGAGTCACAGGCTTGTTCATGACTTTCTGTGAAAGTTACTTTCTCTTCGACTCCAGAAAGGTTACAGATGAAATGGGCATGCAAAAGAAAACTCAGCTTTTTCCATTCTGTTTTTTTTTTTCTCCTTTTCTACAGAGGAAGTTGCTCAACCACAATCGCTATTTCATCAAACCAGACAGATTTGAGTCAGCGTTTTGTCTTGTTACTCATGCGCTCCAGGTTTGGATCGTTCCTGTCTTAAAGAAGACCACATCCGGTCAAGAGAGCATTTCCGGTAAATCTTCCATAGAATACAATACTGTGAAAAGAACAACGCAAAGAAGTGATGGGCCTCTTTAAACACGACTAGTAACAGTGATAAAATGGTAATACTGAATGTGTATGGTCCTGCAATATCTATGTTCCGATATTTATTCTGGAGAAAGGCCAACACGATGATGTACAACCAGTTCTTAGCTCACGCTAGACTTCAAATTAAGGTATTTTTTCATGCTCGAGAATTATCCGTCGTTGTATTCATCGTACCTTTAGGCTTTTGAACTCTGGATCAAATGGCTCGAGTTTCAGTCCTTGTCTGATCATTGTACGGTAATGTTTTCTTGAGCAAACCTGTTAATTCTAACAGTAACTCTTATCACACAGGAATAACACTGCATACGTTCAAACAAGACCCCCCAACATTAGGGAGGGACTACCCGCATGAACCTTGTGTCTTATTCAGGAGGAAGGGGGGTAAGGTATACCCTTGGGCCTCACTATGAAAAGTCTTTTCTTTATGATACTTACATTAAAGGGCAAGATGTCTTATTTTTGTTTTTAGTAATTAAGTAGACAAAATAGATTATTAATTCTGAGCTGAGCCTTGCACCACTATTTTACTGATCTTAAAAGAGCTCTAAATACAGCTTTTGGTGGTGGCATACTTTGGAAACTACATAGAAGCTCCAGAATCTATCATATAGTCTTGAATGCTCAACCATTTTTCTATCCAAAGAAAAAGAAAAAGATTAAAAAATTTACAAAGGAAACAAAAACAAAGAAACTTATTGCTAAATCCCCACCCCACCCTGGCAAGCTTCAAATTCCACACCCCCTGGGTACAGACAACAGTCAAATGCCTGTGGGTTGCCTGCAGGTGGGAGGAATGTTGAAGATTTGAATTGATTGGTGCAATAAACTATTAAACTAAAGTTTCATTAAATTTTTCATTGATTTACTTCATTGAAAATAGCATTCCAGAAGCTGTTGTAAAATTCCTATAAGTAAATAGTAGCCTACACATTTTAGTGACCATTTGAATACAACAAGCAACTTGAAATTTACCAGTCCATTCTAGTTTACCCCATCTCTTTACAATTTCGTATCACACTAGACTGGGTTGAGTTTTTAAAACACTAAAGTTATCTGGTTTGCATAAAAGTCACAGCACATCTAATTATTTAATTGAATAACCCTGCACTCCTGTGGCAGCTATTCTATTGGCTGTAAAATACCTCAGGGAAATTCTCATGACCCTTAATATGCCGTTACATGCAAAATCTCTCTCTTCTCGCAAGTCAACTGACTCAACGACATCTGGAAATTTCCCCACCCTCCTTCACTTCAGCGGCACTAGCCAATTAATTTTCTCTTTCATTTCACTTTAAGCCTTATGTACAAATTCTTGGCCTATAACTTATCCATCATAAGGCATAGGGTGGCTTTTAGGTGAATGTGAATTAATTATTATTACATCTACATAAAATATGCTAATAAATAATATTGCTATTGTTATGCTCTTGTTTTTCCAAAACTGACAAGCACCTACAATTCTGAAAAAGTCAACTTAATAGGCATACTGTAATAATAACAATTAAAAAAATCAATCTTACAAGCAGAGTATAAAAAAAGATTACTAGAAAACTAAAGGCACTTTCAGATGTGTACTTACCTTTTCCTTTGAACTAACTACCTGTCATCTGGATACATTTGTTGGCTTACATTTTGCTTTACATGAAAGGTGTACAAAAATTTGTTTCTATGACACATTTCTTAAATGAACAAGACACAAAAATTACTTTCAGACCACATATGATTGTAGGGGAATTGGATTTCAGAGCAGTGACAATCTTTCTCTTCTACCTCCCTCTCCCCAACCAATTCCTTTTCAAATATAAATTAGGAATATAGACACAAACTAGGTTACTTATGTAGTAGTTTGGTACATTAGTTGGTGGCAGTAATAACTATTATACAATTATAATTAATAATGGTATTAACCCTTTACACCCTAAAATCAGCATGCATATTCTCTTTACTGTTCTTTATACATTTCCTGAGGTGAAGAAGAGGAGAATTTGTTTAAAAATCAGGAGCTTCTTTGGTTGGTGATCATTTTCTTTATTCTTGTGACCATAATGTATGATTCACGTGTTATACCCTTTGGGGTCAAAGGGTTTCCTTGCCACATTATTTATAGATGACTCTAAATTGTAATTTTATCTAATTTGATTATAAATTGTTGTAACAGTGGTTTCAAAACAAGCTGGTGACCGCCGGAGTTCTGCCGGATACTTGATTGTATGTCGCTGGCTACTCTGGTCATAACAGTCTGCTCCTGACAAACAATCTTGGCATTATCACAGCTGCCTACTTTTCCAGAGTCGGCTGCCTACTTCAGAACATTTTGAAACCCCTGTGTACTATAATATCATAATAGCTATTCTTTTAGATCCCTACAAACAACTGTAATTTATTTTTGCCTGTGTAAGAGGCAAAAATAAATAAAATAATGAAAAAGGGGTTAATAATAATGACTTTTATAATGAGGTTATTGTGATCTCATCAAAGTGCATTGGGTATAGGTTATCTGAAAGATACTCGTTTCTGACGAGTTCTTTTGCCTTTGTCTTGAGATTTTTGCGTATTGTAATTAATGTATTGTTCTTGTTGCCGATGAATGTCCAGGTCAGAAAGTTGTTGTTGATGAATCTCTTTCTGGCGGACAAGACGAAGTTTGAGTTCCTTTATTTTTGCATCTTTTGTTGTTAAAATATCATCCTGTTTGGAACAGAGCTCTTCCATTGCTAAGTAATTCAAGAAAGCAATAAATTATTAGGATGTAGAGTTACAAAAGGATACAAATTGAAGAAAGAAACATAACCTTGTCTATGGGCAGAAATAAACCTAGTATAAAATGGTAAAACTTACAACACTAGCATCAAAAATTGTTTATGTCACGTTTACGGATACAAACTCTAATCTTTTTTACTTATGTAACTCTTCCGTTTTTAGCACAAAGACACTAAGAAACTTTCAATGACTTTCTATTAAATTTGTTAGCGCGCTTTGTTTGATTTCTATTCTGTAACTAGCGAATATCCGCTCAAAGCTAGCTACACAAAGCACTGTTCATTTCTATTTCCCCTAGGTCAAAGTGTAAGATCTAAATTCGCCTTCTATTAGCAAGTAGTTCAGTTGCGAGGAGTCACTGTAGCGAAACCATTTTGGAGCCGAACGGAGTTTAGGAGTTCTCTACCCCGGAGTCAAGATCCGATGTAAGTTATGCTTGTAATATTCCTCATTTTTATCATTTCTAGTTTCGTAGTCTTTCGGTTTTCCTTACATCGAACCTTCATGTATCCGTTCTATAGTTTTTACCGCCTGTGCTGTACAAAGACTGCCAGCTTAAGTGAATAAAGAGTTTGATGCTGCTACTTGTCTAAAGTTCAACACTGTGGTTATACTGGCGAACTCCGGTGCACAACACCACGTGTCTGCGGCATCGGGAACGTGACAGTTTAGAATAGAATTTCAACAAAAAATGTTACATTCAATGGTTTTAACTGTTAACCCTTGAACTCTAACAAGTGATTAAGATGTAATTTCTTCCTATGATACTTTAAATCATCCAGCATACAGGTAATCAGAATATCCAAAGTTATCAGGTAGAAGTTGTTATCTTGATCTAACACCAAATTCTTGCTACTACTTTACAAGAAAATGTGTAGCAGCTAGAGGAGAGAATTAACAATCAGATCTTGGGAGTTAAAGGGTTTCATGATTATGTTTCATTTCTACTCAGGTAAACATTTTTCCTCTAGCTGGTATAACTTCAGTCATAGGTTGGGCTTGGTCTCTATCACTATTCTTATTGATATAAAAGGAAAGGGATTGAGTATTTAGTTTCAATGGTAATTAAATCCAACCTTGGCACTTTGTTTGAAACTCCTTTTTCTCCTGGTTTTCCTCAAAGGCTTTGCTTTTAACCTGGCCAAACCTGTACAAGAAAGTTTGTAAAAAAAGAAAAAATTCCTGATTGATTTACTAAAAGTTATCATAGAGCTAAGCTTTAATTTGCTATTTTTAACAGATAAAATATTCAACCACTGTCTCAATCTTCATTTATTTTAGCTAGTCTAAAATATAGGGGTTCTGTGTTCCATGAGTCATGATGCATATAGGAAACAGGTGTAATAGGAAATTTAGGCATAATAATAAATACCTACAAAAAACACGAAACCATCTTGCAGACATTTATACATACGCATTTTCAAATGACAACTTTTCACGCTGTAGCTGCTTGTTTAAAATGTCTATTTCCCCTAAGGCAAACTGTAATCTTTCACTTTCACTGGCCAGTTTTGCTCTAGTCTTGACATGCTCAAGTTTTTCTTCCTAGAAAATGGAATGGACAGTGAAACGAGACAAGAAATAATGCAAAACAAATTACTATTAAAAATTTAAGTGGTTCTGTTCTCAGAATTATTTTGGGAGAGAATCCAGGGAACTCAATAAAGCTAACAAATTTTTTCAGTCCTTGGTTTTCAAAATTAATTTTTTTGAATTCATGATTACTATGCACAATTCATGTGTAACTTTTCCCTATAATATCCATACTATATCAAGCAAATTGTCAGTTAGAAGTTATCTTGGTCCAACACCAAATTTTCATAACTAATTGCCAATAACTAACAGCTAGAGGGGAGAAATTACAGTAAGATCTTGTGAGTTTGAGGGTCAATAACATTAAAAGTGCATTTCAACTTAGTATTTTGAACCCAGCCACAGAAATCACAACAACCAATATGCTCAAAGGAGCCAATTTAAGGGTGAACAGAGAAAAGCTCCAAGATCTCATTTGTAATTCTCCTTAATGTCTGTGATACAATTCTTTTGCTGTCAGTTTAGAGAATTTGGTATTGGATCAACTGATAATCCCCTGATTTTTTTTTTTCCTCATTCTCATTACTTGTCTGCTTGATATCATATTGATATTGTAAGGAGATATCCTGTCTTGGTCTCTCACGGGAGTTTAAGGGTTAAAATTACTTCAGACAGACAACTTGATTCTCCTCCCAAGGTGCCATGTATTCCCTTGAGAGACAAAAAGCTAAAAAATGCCTCATTTAGAATACCCCATTAGAAGTCAAAGCAAAGACAAGGAACTGCATAGAGCATGGAAAAGTGCGAAAGATCACATCGCAAGTAATTTAGGTACTACATCCAACGACCACTGGATCATTCACGAAGTAGTGCAAAGCAAAACCAAAGAAATCTCAAACTACCTTCCGCATTTAAGTAAGACTTTTGTGAGCTCAAGATGTTTTTGATTGCGAAGTCGGAAGATGTAAAACCCCTATGGCTCTTCTTCTATTAGTAGTTCAGCATCTTTGGTCAAAACAGTTCTCAAAGTGGGGCACTGACTTTCTGGGTCTCATTCTCTGCTTATTCTCATTCCTTCGCTCTGACGAAGGGCTAACGCTCCAAACGTCAGCTTTGAAATTCTTGACGGTGGCCATTTTACATCAACTCGGTTAACAAAACCAAAATTATCTTATTCTATGCATTTACTACACCAAACGACAAAATTATTACGTTGTCATGAGTGTAGCATCTAAAAAAAAAAACAACAACAAAAACAACAACCTCAAGTTCCCGGATCAGCTTCTCATATTCTTCACGTGGCACACGATCGTCTTTCCTTGACATCTAATGAGATAATTTCATAGAAGAACATAAAAAATTATGTTCTAATTACTGCAGGACTTTGTACGGACAAAGTTCTATCGACCAGGTTACTACATATTTGTGCACTGCGGAGACTAGAGGTCTCTAACCTTGGCTTTTATACGGGCCACAGCTGTGTGTTGCAGCCGTATGACATCTTGAAGTTGTTTATTTACAATCAGATACGAAGGTTCTGACACATCTGCACTGTTCGCCATTTTGTAAAAAGCCGCCTTTCACTAACCTCGATCCAGTTTTTCTCGAGTTTTCAAACTATTCATACCCAGTGCTTTTGAACGGCGCACTCCAACGCGACCGGACGTAACAATCGCCAATACCATTCGATGGCTATAAATCCTAGAATAAGCGACTGGTAGGGTAGATTATGAACTCAATACTTCTATATATCGATAGTTGATAGTTAACAAAAAAAGGAAAAAAAATCTTTCTGAAATAAACTTTGAGCGCTCTTTGCCTAATCTCCCCCCACTGCTGATTTTTGATTGCGTTAAGGATTTGTGGTAAATCCTGAAAAAAGAATTTCCAACAGGTAAGGAATTCCTCTCAATAATAAACTTACTTGTGACCATCTTCTGACACTTCGTGATATCTACGCAATGCTATTAGAGTCACAAAAACAAGATAGTTTGTCTTATAGCCAGCAGAATTTACTAAGGGGTTGATAGAGCGCATAAGTTACACATATAAGGTTAAAAAAGAGAAGGAGAACTTAGCAATCTTGAAGTCCTCGTCGATTCTGCTGAGAGTTCCGAACATGATTGCGATCTTTTATCGACTAACGAGCGAGAGGAAGTACATGGCCAAACAGTCACTTGGCGGAGAGTCTTTGAACCAAATGCAAAGCAGTTACATTAATGGTTTAATACAGTGAACTGTTTTCACCCTAACTGAAAACTTCGGTCGTGTAGTCCCGTAAGAGAGGGGGGTAGTCCTAAAATACAATGTCTGATGTCTCGACAGCCTAAGCAGAGGCCATCATTAGTCCAGTGACAAGTTGTTGGTCAGACGTTACGCCGGTTTCGCGCCATTTGATTGTTTACTGTTGCCTTGATGCTAATGGCTACAAGACTCAAATGACGAGATTAATCAGTTTCGATTCATCAGTGAAATCTGGACGTTGTTTCGTTTTGTCGAATAATCTGGTCGTATCTGGCCTCAAATGAGGAAAAACACGTTGAACCAAGTCACAATGGTGGAGTTTTCCGAATCTGGCGCGGCAGTTTCTTGGCAAGTAATACAGCATGCTACAACAAAAACAAACTGGTAACCTTTTACTTAAAGCACCCAAAAGAAATACGCTATTTTATGAATATATTTTGAATATTTACAATATTTCTTAGTCATTGTTACTATTCCTACAATTGTATATTAACTAGTAAGTATATTTACAACAGTTGGAAGAACTCAGTGCCGCTTGTAATTGTTCATTATGTACTGATAAACTTTTCATTGTTCACAAAGTTCCTTTAGTGTAAAGCGTTTTGCAAATTCCGACTGCAGATCGGACTCTCACAAAGCGCAAAATCACGCAGTTCGCTCATGTCCTTTGACGCTTTGACTCCCATGAGCGACCAAGGCAGAATTTCTCCAAGCAATATCAATACAATATCACGCAGACATGTGATGATAATGAAAAAAGTAATAATACGGTAGTCTAAGGGATTGTTAGTTAATAAAATAATAAATCCTCCAAACAAACATCATGAGAGACCTAAATTAGTGATGAGATATGGGAGGTGGGGAGGGTTAGATGTGAAAATTTCAAAGGGTTCCTCACTGAAAGAACTAAGGATCGATATTCAAAACGCCGATACACAACAGCCTGCCATTACATCGCGAATACATTGTCCAAAAACTGATGTTATTTAAAAAAACGCACTGAGCGACGTCTTCAATATCTTGTCGCTCGTCTTTATGTCAAAAAAATTAGAAATTTCTGATGAACAGATGATTTTGATTAAATCACATTGGACATATTCTTCGGGTGTAAGGCAACTCTAAAGCGAACAGCCAACGTTCTCGTCTTCATCTCCTACAATAGCTGTTAGAATATTCCCAGTTCAATGTAAGATTGGGGGAATTATTCACAGAATGAATTCATTCTGGGGAACTGCCTCCTTCCGCATCCGAAGATTTCACGATCCTATAAGTGATCAGGTACTCGGGATAAGCCTGCAGAGACAACGATAACAAACATTTTGTTAGTCGCGCAGTGCTACCGTTAGCCAAAATACTTCAGAAATCTAATTCCACTTCGCCGCTACGAATCCTGCTGATTCTTTAAAGGTCTCTTAACCACACAAAAAGTTACGATCTGGCGTCGTAAACAACTTAAACTTGCACATTGAAGACTTTGGAAGAAACAACATTATATGAGTAGCACGACCCAAACCTGCATATCAAAGAGACAACGCAGTGTTTAAATGAGGAAAGAGGGGGGGAGGGGAGGCTCACCGTACACCAAGATGTAGTTTGCTAATGCACACAGGCACAATGGCTGGAGTTGTTCAAAATATACGTTCTGCAGCATATTACTTAGCTAAGCAAGATCCGGACGGAGATATTTGTGACAAGATGATGATGAGCTCTCAAACCAATTTTATATTGCGCTTGTGATAATCTTGGCACCAAAGCAGTGTGGAGGAGAGGAAGGGGAAGAAAGCAGCTCCTCCAAAACATTTCGTAAATGGGGAAGGGGGGGGGGGAGGAAGAGGGACATACACACCCTGACCTCCTGCTCCACCACCGGTGGTTAGATATGTTGGTGTTTTCCAGATGAACTATTACGATTTACTAACGGAAATGGATCGTGCAAGCAATGCTGTTGTACCTGTTCTCCTCTGTACACAACATATTCTGCGAACGAGAGTCCCTCTGAGCTCGGACGACCGATCACTGAGTGATGCCCTGGAGGCGCATGCGCCATCTTGACAGCAGAAAATTGGTAAAATGGCTTACCAAGAGCCACGCGACATAGAAGCAATTGCCTGAAGAATAAGATGCATATAAAAAGATCACACGAGTCAACGTTGTATCTCCTCGTGCCAACGGCTGGACGATGCTTCAACCCTAAACCCCCGAAGAGTGATAACCGTCTTATTTCGCCTAAGAGTATCACCCCTGAATCAAATAGTCTGGTCCTGAGAATAAAGGAAATGATCGCGAGGTCAAGAAACCCTTGATTATTAAGCAAATTCTTCTTGAAAGTACCAAAGGTAACGTATAGAGAACAGTACGGAGAACTTACAAACTGATGTTAGGGTGTAAAGGGTTAAGGGATGGCTGTCGAGATTTCCATTTCCATTCTTTGTCAGTCGTCTCCACTTTTGATCACCCTCGTTCCCTCTTAGCTAATTCCTTTCATGTTGTGTGTTTATTAAACATATCAAACTATATTTTGTGGACACCCTCCTGCTGAGGGAAATTGTGCACGACTCAAAATATCGTAACTGTTAAGTTAAAACGGTCCTAATAAGAATGACCTTCGATCACATAAACGGTTTTCTGTCCCAATAACAAGCTGAAAACATAACCCAAGGACGAGAACGTGGCGTCCGTTCGTAAAGTATTGAACGACAAAGCTCGTAAACGTAAGCACTCAAATTTTCCCTCATACGAAATTTCAACCAAAATGAACATACAAACAATCGATTGTTCCAAAACAACACATACGTATTCAACGCTGTTAACTTCTCTAAAGATCAGTGAGAAAGACACGCTGTTCGTTGTTACCTTTCGCACAAGTAACAAGATTTGTCCTTGTGCAGAGCACAGCCTGATCCGCCGCCGATACCATATACATACTGGTTGCTTTTGGAAGAATTTTCCGCGAAGTAAATACCTACGCAGAAAGAGAATGGTAGGGAAAAAAAAGATACATCACCAACCTTAAGTAAAAGGTCTAGTGTAAGTTTACTTAGTTTAAGAACTCATCGATCCAGTCCTGATAATGACAATATTTCAAACGAGCCAATCAGATGACAGATGCAGAAAATGACATGTTGTGGTATTGTGTGCGCGTCACAAAAGAAAGACCTCTGACAAATAATAAACAGATAAATAATGACTTTACTGGATTACACAATTACTGGTAGAATCAGTAACTCTCATTGTGGTCCACGCAAACAACTGAAACAAATAACTTGTATTCAACATAACATTATTAAGAATCCCAACTGGCCGAAGGCAAACCAGTTGGCTATACAAGCATGACTGAGGATTTGAACTCGGAGCTACCGTGAAACAAATCCAAGTAGTGGTCAAGGCGGGACTCGAACCCGGGAGCGGCGGATTACGAGTCCAACACGCTGACCACTCGGCCACACTGCCTCTGATTGGTTTAGATCGCCTTCCAAATTAGTGTAACATAACCAGAACCAACGTAATCACCAAAGGCAATCAGAATAAACGTCATTGGTGTATACTAAAACAGTGGAGAGCGTTCAAAGCACGCTGTGATTGGCTATATCCTTTGCTTTTCACCTCCGAGCAACTTGCGCGGGATTTGCGTTCCTACATAATGCAAACAGTGCTGGAATAAATGAGTTAAAATGATCTTTTGTACTATATTATCTCACTGTTTTAACATAAACTAAAACAACTATTCACCTCAGCATCGGTGGTTAGCTGACGATGTTTTTTGCGCGCCGCGAAGCGGCAAGGTAAATATCAAGCAATAGCCACCTATCCTTCAGTGAATAGTTGTTAAATATCTCAAGGAACCAATGTTTGCTGGACCCTTCAAAAGCGGAGGACTATTTTAATCAAATGCTCCCTTCATTTACAGTTCACAGTTAATTAAACGGAGCCAGACGTGGCTAAACTAAGAAAAACTTACCAGCGCCAAACATGCCTCCGATATAAGCATGACGTTCGTCAAATCCTTTCTGCAGAATAGCGTGTATGAATGCCGACCCTGAGTTCAAAGACAAACCCTGAGATTATTCTTCGAAGATAACCATTCACCTTAATTCGTTCGAAATGATTCATGGACTATCGAAAACAGAGTGGTTGGGCGGAATGGACACTCAGTATCGCACGGACATTTCTAGTTTCGTTCACAGACGAAATGCAGAAAGAGTACACTTAACCCACATATAGCGAGATCTCCTTCATTTTATTCACGATATTGACAGAGTTTCAGAGCTGTTATAGATAATATAGAGTCATTCTATCAATTGTATCGATCGTGATGACTGCTATTCTTCCAGTCTGTCTCAGGCGACGAGGTCGAAAGTTAACGTGTCGCTACTTAAAGGTCGGCACACACGAAGGGACTAGTCCCTGCGACTAGTCCCAGCGACCAG